TAATAATAATAATAATAATGATAATAATAACAATGATAATAATAACAATAATAATAATGCCTCCTCCCCCCCTCCCCAGCTGAGCGAGCACCTGGGCACGGAGCTGAACCTGGCCCCCGAGACCTCCCTGGGCGACATGATCGACGCCGGCCTGCCTTCGGTGCAGAGGAAGCTGGAGGAGATCAGCCACGCCGCCTCGAAGGAGTTCAGCCTCGAGAAGGCCCTCGAGAAGATGAAGGGCGAGTGGGCCAACGTCGTGTTCGAGTTCAAGCCCTGGAGGTGAGGGGGATGGAGGGTGGCTGGCTGGCCGGCGGTTTTGGTTTTTGTTTTTTGTTTTTGTTGTTTTTTTGCTTTGTTTTTCGTTGTTTTTGTTTTGTTTTTTTTTGTTTTTGTTTTGTTTTTTGTTGTTTTTTTGCTTTGTTTTTCGTTGTGTTTTGTTTGTTTGTACGTTTGTTTTTTATTTGTCTTCGTTGTTTGTTTGTCTTTGTTTTTTGTTTGTACATATATATATTTGTTATTTGTCTTTTTGTTTATTTATTCATTCTTGTTTATTCGTTCATTTTCTTTATCTTTTACTTATTATTTCTTATTCATTTTTTTGCTTCATTTCATTTTTTCTGTTTCCTAATTTTCTTTACTTTACTTTTTATTCACTTACATTTATTTTTTTCCTTCTTTCATTCTTTCTTTTTTGAATATGGCGGTACTATTTTGTCTTTGTTTTGAACAGTAAAAACGAGTCATGTTAGATGATGCTTATTCATTTATTGATATACTTTATTTATTTTTGCTTGATCCTGAGAGTAAATGTTTTATGAATGTAAGTAAACCTGCCCAAAGATCCATTGAGAAATCCTAAACCTAAGAAAATTACCTTAAAACCGAGCCAAATCTCCCCAAAGAATTACCTTAGAAAACCTTCCCTTAAAGAAAAATATAGTAATGACATTAATATGATAAAGATAATGATAATACTAGTGATAATAATAAAAAAATAGTAATAATGATAATAATAATAATCATAGTATTGATAAAAATTATAATAATGATGATAATGATAATAATGATGATAATGAAAATAATGATGATAATAATAATGATAATAATAATAATAATAATATTAATAATAATAATAATAATAATAATAATAATAATAATAATAATAATAATAATAATAATAATAATAATAATAATAATAATAATAATAATAATAATAATAATAATAATAATAATTATAATGATAATGATAATGATAATAATAATAATAACAATGATAATAATAACAATAACAATAATAATAAATAACAATAATAACAATAAGAAATAACACAATATCATCACCTCCCCCCCCCCCCCCAACACGCCCCCAGGGAGACGGGCGTGAGCATCCTGGCCGCCGTGGACGACATCCAGGTGCTGCTGGACGAGCACACGCAGAAGGTGCAGACGATGCGCGGCTCGCCCTACGTCAAGCCATTCGAGGCTGAAATCCGGGCGTGGGAGGAGAAGCTGCTGTCCATGCAGGACATCCTCGACGCTTGGATCAAGGTGGGGAGGAGGGGAGGGGGGGGAGGAGGAGGAGGAAGGTGGAGGTGGAGGAGGAGAGAAGGAGGAGGAGGGTAGGAGGGAGGAGGGGAGGAGAAGCTGCTGTCCATGCAGGACATCCTCGACGCCTGGATCAAGGTCGGTGGATTGGGGGGGGAGGCTGAGGGGAGGAGGGAGGAGGTGGAGGGAGGAGGGGGAGGTGGGGGGATAGGGGGGAAGGAGAGGAGGAGGGGGAAGGGGGAAGGGGGAGGGAGGAGGAGGAGGAGGTGGGAGGAGGGAGGAGGAGGGGTAGGAGGGAGGAGGGGAGGAGAAGCTGCTGTCCATGCAGGACATCCTCGACGCTTGGATCAAGGTGGAGGAGGGGGAGGGGTTGGGGGAGGAGGAGGAGGAAGGTGGAGGTGGAGGAGGAGAGAAGGAGGAGGAGGGGTAGGAGGGAGGAGGGAGGAGAAGCTGCTGTCCATGCAGGACATCCTCGACGCCTGGATCAAGGTCGGTGGATTGGGGGGGGGAGGCTGAGGGGAGGAGGGAGGAGGTGAAGGGAGGGGAGGTGGAGTGGGGAGGAGGTGGTGGTGGTGGAGGGGAGGAGTGGGGAGGGGGATAAGAAGGAAAATGAAGATGATGTTTTTTGAGTATAGAGTTAGGACATTAAATCTAGGAAGAGAGAAAGAAAGGAAAAAGAGAAAATGGAAGAACGAAAGAAAAAAAGAAAAAATGCATGATTGATGAAGTTTATCATAAATTAGATACAGGTAATTGAGATAAAGATTAGAAGAAGATCCAAAAGATATCATTTCAACAAAAGATACTCACTGAAGTTCCTGTTTTTGGATTAGGATAATTCAGTGTTTAAAAGTATGCTAATTCTCTCAACTTTTTTCTTCCAGTTTTTTTTCTTTTTATTGAAGTAGTGTAAAAAACGATCTGACAGTTACCAAGCGCAGTGTCTTTCATCTTTATACACATACACAAACACATATTTTCTTCTTTTTCTTTTGATATTTCTTTTACCGTATTTCCAATTCCGAGTTTTAGCAACAGTGTCAAAGTACACGATGCTTGCTAAAACCCTCACTCACAAAAAGCAATAACCACAAACACCATTGACCCTTCACCTTGACCTCCGACCCGCCCACAGTGCCAAGTGACGTGGCTGTACCTGGAGCCGATCTTCTCCTCCGAGGACATCATGAAGCAGATGCCGGTGGAGGGTCGCAAGTTCACCCGCGTCGACGCCACCTGGAGGGAGCTCATGGGCACGGCGGTGAAGGATCCCCACGCCCTCGTCGCCACGGAGCAGCCTAACATGTTGCCCAGGTCAGTTGGGTGGGGCGTGGCGGGGGAGGGGCGGGGTGGGGTTGGAAGAGGGGGGACGGGAAGAGGGGGGCGGGGAGGGACGGGAAGATGGGGCTGGAAGGGGTGAGGGGGGCGGTTGGACAGGAGGAGGGGAGGGACGGGTGAGGGGACGGGGGTGATGGGAAGAGGTGGGCGGGGCGGGTGAGGGAGACGGGGCGCGCCGGAAGAGGGGGGCGGGGCGTGAAAGGAAGAGGGGCGGGCATGATGGGAAGAGGGGGCGGGGATGGGAAGGGAAGAAGGGGATTGGGGCGAGATGATTCGTTTGGTGCTGGTTGATTGGCAGACTTGACGAACTATCTCTTTATCGTATATCATTGGACTAGTAGAATTATTGCTTTAATACGGTTTGGATTTTCAAAATGATTATAAAAAAACATCGATCATTGATTTAGTCTCTGTGCATTGTTGTACTAAGGACATAATTGATTCAGAACGTTTGCGATATGACAAAGTGCTCATTTAGTACCATTGTTAACCCTGCTTAATATCATATCAAAAGTACATGCATCATGAAACCCTACAAAATGGTCAATTCAGACCAAAAAAAAAAAGATAATAATAATAATGATAATGATAATAATAAGAATAATGATTTTTTACAGTGAATACCCTGTAAAATATTCATTACAGTATTAGTTACATTCTGAAATCTACAGTCACAACGAAACCTTTGCATTAAAAGTAAACAGAGCTTTATTAAAGAACAATACGCCACGTATCCAAATTCCTTCCGCAGACTGCACGAGTGTAACCGCCTGCTGGAGGAGATCCAAAAGGGCCTCAACGACTACTTGGAGAAAAAGCGTCTCTTCTTCCCAAGGTAAAGTGATGGGACTTTGTATACTGATTATACTTTAAGCTGAAACGAAAAGTGTGATACTCTTTATGGTTTCAACAGATGATGAATTGCCCCAGAAGTTCTCGGTAATTCTCGTGCCTTTCAGGAAGAATGCAAGCTTATTCTTGTAGAATTCTCAGAACAATAAGCACGTGTAACTCTATCTTTTCACTATTATATTTTTTTCGCAGATTCTTCTTCAGGTCACACCAGCAATTTCAATCATTATTCATGGAGAGGGCACTTCCTTTCTAATAAAAAATAATCATCTGTATATATCAACACGTATTTATATTCCCATGATTGCCATATTATATTTATTCTTGCAGATTCTTCTTCCTGTCATGAAAACCATCCTTTCACTTTGCCAGATTCTCCTTCTATTCGCCCGATCATCCCTCTCATCCTTGCAGATTCTTCTTCCTGTCCAACGACGAGCTGCTGGAGATCCTATCCGAGACGAAGGACCCCCAGCGCGTGCAGCCTCACCTCAAGAAGTGCTTCGAGGGCATCAGCTCCCTGCACTTCTCGCCGCAGCAGGAGATCGAGGGCATGATCTCTGCAGAAGGGGAGCTCGTCCAGTTCAGCAACCGCGTCATTCCTGCCAAGGCTCGGGTGAGAAAGAGGAATGTCTTTGGGGTGGTTTGATTTCCTTCTGTTCTGGTCTTCGTTATCGATATGTTTTCTTTGTCTTTTTTCATTTTCGTGTTTGTAATTCCCTATTTTTTATCACTGCTTTCTGCTCATTATACAATCTTATTGATGGGTTATATCAGAGAAATTAAATTGAGTTCAAGAGAGCTTCCAGAAAGCATCATATCATATGTACATCGTTTAATGACCGAAGAATACCCTGTAAAACGACACTAGACATGTAATTTTATAGATTAAAAAAACTCGAATCATTGAATCGACACAACATACACGCCCCCGAATTTCCTTCCACCCCTCCAACAGGGCCTGGTGGAGAGGTGGCTGGTGGAGGTGCAGGAGATGATGGTCCAGAGCGTGCAGGACGTGACCATCCGCGCCGTCGAGAACCACCCGCTCTCGTCGCACCAGCAGTGGATTACCCAGTGGCCGTCGCAGGTGGTTCTCACGGTGGCCCAGATCGTGTGGACCAGCGAGATCACCAACCTGCTTCCCAAAGGAGAGCTCAAGGTGGGTTGGGGAGGGGGGGGGGAGGTCTGGGTTGGGTGCGCGGGTTGCTTATCTGGGTTTTGCGCTCTTGTTCTGTTTTGTTTCTTTCTCTTTGTCTTTGTTTTTCTGTCTTTTTTCCTTTCTCTCTCTCTCTCTCTCTCTCTCTCTCCCTCTGTCCTGTCTGTCTCTGTCCCTGTCTCCTCTCGTCTTCCTCTCTCTCTCTCTCTCTCTCTCTCTCTCTCTCTCTCTCTCTCTCTCCTCTCTCTCTCTCTCTCTCTCTCTCTCTCTCCCTCTCTCTCTCTCTCCCTCTCCCTCTCACCTTCTCCCTTTCCCTCTGTCCTTTCCTCCCACGGCCCTTTTTATACCTCTCTCTCTTCTCTTACCTCTCCTCTCTCCAATTCTTCTTTCATTGTTTCGTTTCCTTATCATAATTCCATCGAGTTACAATGACCAATACCATAAAGTTCGTCCTTTATGCCAGGGCTACTTGGACGTCTGCAACACCCGCGTAGACGAAGTCGTGGCCATGGTGCGCGGGAAGCTCGAACACGGGACTCGCCTCACCCTCGGCTCGCTCATCGTTACTTACGTTCATGGTGCGTCAGCGATAAAACGTTTCCTCGACGTTACGGGGCTAATTTTGCATTAATTTAAATGCATATTATAGTAAATTTAAACTTTTTGATTTATCTATTGTTGTAGCTTCAGACCACTGATGTAGCTATTATGTATAAGGTAATTAAGATATTACTAACTTCGTTCATATCCATATCTCTATTGTAGTAACTTTGTACAAATTGATTTATGTATTTATATTAGCATTGCACGTATTATGTATTGATAGGTATAAATGACGAATAATTGCATAATATCACACGAAGATCCACTGGAAGCAAAGTTAAAAGAAACATCGAAAAAAGAAGAAACACACCCATGCATTTTCTTGTCCTTCCCTTCGTTATTTCACTTACACACACTATCGCAAACATCAACTACATACTCGCATATCTCCACAGGGCGCGACGTAGTCCAGGAACTGATCCGCAAAAACGTTTCGTCTGACAAGGACTTCTCGTGGGTGGCGCAGCTGCGTTACTACTGGGTGAACGAGCTCGTGCAGGTGGACATGATCACGACCCGCCTGCAGTACGGCTACGAGTACCTGGGCAACACCTCCAGGCTGGTCGTCACGCCCCTCACTGAACGGTGCTTCAGGTGTGTGGGTTTCTTTCTTTCTTTTTTTGATGGGAGAGAGGTTTGGGAATGGATGTGGTTTTGCTTGTTTGTTTGGGTGGTAGGTGTACTCTTTGCATCTGTTTTAGTGGTTTGTTGTAACTGTAATTGATAGTGTTGGATGGAATTAGATTTCTATTTTTGTGGGTGTTTTGTGTAGGGATCAATTTGGTTGAAACAAACAAGAAAACTGAACGACAAATTTATACATCACATATATGTAGTGATTAGAACACGAAATGTTACAAACACTGGCACATTAACGGTGAAGAAGGTAATTCCCACGTAGGCTTATACATCAACAAAATCTATATCCACAAGCATCCACACCGTTAAGTTACGCACGCAAACATACCCACACATCCAAACCTTCCCCACACAGGTCCATACCCAGACCCGTCCTTTAAGAAATAACAAACTAATAGATAAAAATTCACGTTCCCCGCCCACAGGACATTGATGGGCGCCCTCAACATGCACTTGGGCGGGGCTCCTGAAGGGCCGGCGGGCACGGGCAAGACGGAGACGTGCAAGGACCTGGCCAAAGCCGTCGCCAAGCAGTGCATCATCTTCAACTGCTCTGAAGGACTGGACTATAAAGCAATGGCCAAGTTCTTCAAGGTCTGTTTGTTTTGCGTTCGTTTTGTTATTGTTATGTCTGTCTGTCTGTCTGTCTTGATATCACTCCCCCTTTTCCCTCTAGCTCCGTGCATACTCTTGCAATTGGCCAATCCTCATTCTAAGAACATCCCCATTTTTCTGTGCACACTCAAATAACACACCAGCCCTCCCCACACCCACACACGCATCCCCACACTCACACTCACCCTCCCACATCATTCCCCTCCCCCTCCCCTCACCCATACCAAAACCCACCCCTTCCTCACCCTCCCTCAACCTTCTCATCCCTCCCTCACCCCAGGGTCTGGCCCAGAGCGGGGCGTGGGCGTGCTTCGACGAGTTCAACCGCATGGAGCTGGAGGTGCTGTCCGTCGTGGGCCAGCAGATCCTCACCATCCAGTCAGCTGTGGCGAGGAAGGCGCAGCGGTTCATCTTCGAGGGGGTCGACCTCGTGCTCAACAAGACGTGCAACATCTTCATTACGATGAATCCTTCGTGAGTTTGGGCGGGGAGGGGAGGGGAGGAGGGAGGGGGTTAGTGTTTGGTTGGAGGAGTTTGGTTTGGCTTGATTTTTGTGGATTGTTTGTGTGTTTGTTATTTTTGTGTTTGGTCTGTTGTTGTCTGTTTTGTCTTGTTTAATTTGTTGTATGTTTGCTTTGTTTAATTTGTTTTAGGTTTGGTTGTTGTCTTGTGTTTGTTTTGTTATTGTTACCGTTTTTTTATTGTTGTTTGTTGGTTAGGTTTTGTTTTGTTGTTATTATTGTTGTTTGTGTTTTTTATTTTGATATTTTTCTTTGATTTATTTGTTTTGTTATTAAAGTTATTTGTTATTTTTTATGTAAGTAATACTTGGTTACGTTTTTTTCGTATGTGTATTACTGTAGATATTATGTAAAAACATGTGTTTGCCATTGTGACCATATTTTTTCATAAACGTGATCAATTTCACTTTTGTTTGTGTCTATAGCTGAGGGTAGGTCGTAAATCTTATGCTGTGTGTTGCATGTTGTCCAAGCAACTTGTCTGTCGTATGTTGCATGATTTTCATAGGTGGTGTGCCTGTTTAGTTATATGTGATAGATGTAAATTTTAAAGAAAATATCTGTTTTCGATAAGTCTTGGCACCTGTGTATGAGTAAAAAGACTTGATTTCGATAATTCAACATTGTCTAATTTTCAGATCGAAATGCTTAAATCTACGGACGAAACACAGACATTTTTAATTCACAGATTACTAATCAAATGGATAAGATTGTACTTAATTTGTTCAGGGTATCTGTTCGTATTCTCTCCCTCCTTTCTTTGTACATAATAATTTCAATAATTAGTCTTTTGTGTCATGATCATTAATACTATTTATCATTATTCCTCACAAACATCTCTTCATGGTAAAGAATATTCAAGCTTAATTCCTACTTGTACTTAATAGTCCCTCTGTTATCTTAATTTTGATTTCCACCTGTGTAGACTTTTTTCGCTCTTTTTCTGCCTTTCTCCAGTCTCCTAAAATAACATGTATTGCTACCTTGATTTAGAAAGCATGGATATTTGTTTATGTAAGATATAGTTTATGGGAATACGTACATTTGTATTTGTTTACATAGAAGCGTTATGGGAATGATACTTGAATTTGAGGAGGCACACATATACACATACACATGCGTGCGCATCCACACACACACACACACACACACACACACACACACACACACACACACACACACACACACACACACACACACACACACACACACACACACACACACACACACACACACACACACACACACACACACACACACACACACACACACACACACACACACACACACACACACACATCACCACCACACAGATCCACCCAAGTAATCACACACAAACACATACACGCAGATGAGATTCACACCGCATGTTCTGTCACACCAACCCCAATTTATAGGAATTCCGAGCAGTGCTGTACCATTGGACAGGAGTCAACGCCAGTTTGGGCACGCAGGTGAGGAGGAAGTGGGGGGGGGGGATGGGGTGGTGGGGGAGAGGGGCATGGGTTGAAGATGCCCGCTGCGAAATCTTTCTCATCTCCCGGCCTCAGCAGCATCAGCAGCCTGCTTCTGTAGTTTTAAGACTTAAATCAGGCTTTGATTTTTTTTTCTCTCTCTTTAAAGCGAGTTGGTATTTTTAATATATATTTCTACATGCGATTATTCGTGTGTTTTTTTTATGGATTATATTTTTTTAAATGGATATTTCCATTTTTTTTTGTATACTTAACGAAAGCCACATGACGGCCTCTTTGATAAAACGGCCGAACATACTGTTGTAACATTCATGTATATATAAGAAAATACATACACGGACATTCACAGTCACATACACTCCTACGTACACACGTTCACACTCACATTTTAAAAATTACACAGGTCTTTAAAGCTCTTATCTAATATAAACTCAGAGAGTAGCCTGTAGTCTGTAGTTTAACATTTCCAGAGAGAAATCTCTTGCTACTTGCTCCATACATAAACTTCTAAAGTTCTAATTATGCTGTTTTAAATTTTGGTGAAAGAAAGTGTTTGGATAGTGTAGTGACATTATTGTATCATGTGATGATGATTGGGTGTTAGAATTCGTAGAAGTAGCAACTGGTGTAGGGCAGTGGCAGTGGTAGTGTAGTAGTCAATACAGTACAGTAGTAGTAGTAGTAGTAGTAGTAAGTAGTAGTAGTAGTAGTAGTAGTAGTAGTAGTAGTAGTAGTAGTAGTAGTAATAGTAGTAGTAGTAGTAGTAGTAGTAGTAATAGTAGTAGTAGTAGTAATAGGTAGTAGTAAGTAGTAGTGTAAAGTAGTAGTAGTAGTATAGTAGTAGTCGTAGTAGTAGTAGTAAAAGTAATAATAGTAGGAATAGGAGGGTTTTAGTGGTAATCATACAACAATAGCAGTAGAAGCTGTAGTCATACTGAAGTAGGTTCTGATTCAGGCAGCTGTAGAGAGACCTCCGAGATTTCCCTCGATTGTCTCGCATCTGAAGCTTGACCATATAAACCGCATCTCTAACGCCTCTTTATCAGAAGCACCAAGACGGGAGCTGACTACGAGCTTGTTCTTGGTTTAAAAAAAACAAAAACACAAATGGAACTCCAGAGACGACCGAAAGTGAATAAAATGTTTAATTTTCTACAGTCGTAAATTGCTTAACAGCAGGACGATGCGCCAGGACAGCTGGTAATGAATAAACATCTGCATCACTACAGGAAGTGGACTCAAAAGCAGCGTATTAAAAAAAAAGTAGCATTAAGTATATTTATCCATAAATCAAGAAATTTACAAGACTTGTTTTTAATTCGTCGGGTCTGGCTTGTATGTGATATGCATGCCGTGTCTACTGTGGTTTTTAGTTTTATCTGTTTTGTTCACACATTTATTGCTCCTATCTGTCTCACATGTTTATCCTTTTCTTGATTTCAGAAAGATTTTTTTCATTTTTTACTCTAAGTATTTTTACAACAATATAATAGTTATAATGTCAATAATAGTAATAAAAAAAAGATAATGATAATGGTAATGAAAAAAAAAAATAATCTCGATATCAATACCATTAAAAACACGAAAATTCAAGGAAAGGGACATCAGGTGAGGTCGCGCTGGGCCTATAAATTGCCTCTTTGGTGTCTGAGCGCTTGTGGAGCCATCTGTGTGCAACAAAATTCACTAAAAAGAAAACTACAGTGGACAGTATATGTACCCGCCCGTATGCGTATATATATATATATATATATATATATATATATATATATATATATATATATATATATTATATATATATAAATATATATATATATATATATATATATATATATATATATATATATATATATATACACACAGTGTATCTCCATATACACATTCATGTATATGAAATATATACAATTTGCCATATGATATACCACTTCACGTACCTCAACCGAAATTCAGATTTCTAGAAATAAGTCAAACCCCCAAAGCCAACCCCCCCCCCCCCCAACCCAACCCTCAGCGAATTAACCTCCCGCCGCGACTCCGCAGTTACATGGGGCGCCGCGAACTGCCGGACAACCTGAAGGTGCTGTTCCGGACGGTGGCCATGATGGTGCCGGACTACGTGCTCATCGCCAAGATCTCGCTCTTCTCCCTGGGCTTTGTGCAGGCCGACAGGTAGGGCGATGGGAGGGCGGGGGCGGTGGGGATGTGGGTTGTGGTGGTGGGTTGTGTGTGTGTGTGTGTTGTGTGTTGTCTGTTGTTGGGTGTTGTTGTGTGTGTGTGTGGGTGTGTGGTCTGCGTTGTTGGGGTGATTGTGTGTGTGCGTGTGAGCTGGTATGTTGTGTCTATTAGCTTTTGTGTGCGGTCGTATATTACTTATTCTGAATCTTATTGCATTCATCATCTTTCAGGCAACGCAATTGTTCTTGCAAGCCTAATATCTCCGTCATTTATCTACCTTCCTTAGAGCAAACAAATAACAACGACTCCCATAAATACAACACAAAATACACACAGACAACCAACGCCGCCATACCCTCTTGTACACCATTCTCAGAAACAAACAGACTAATGATCCTAAACCATCAAACAGCCCCGCCCCAATTTACCCTCCTCCTTCCCTCCTTCCAGCCTGGCACGGAAGATAATAGACACGTACAGGCTCTGCTCGGAACAGCTGTCGTCTCAGCACCACTACGACTACGGCATGAGGGCGGTGAAGGCCGTGTTGCTGGCGGCTGCGAACCTCAAGCTCCTCATGCCCGACCTGCCCGAGTCCCAGGTCGTCCTCAGAGCCATCCAGGACGTGAATCTGCCCAAGTTCCTGGCTCAGGTAGTTAGCGTAGGACTCGTGACGAGTTGCACTTGATATTTTTTTCTTCTGATTTCAGTTTTTTTTTGTATTTGTTCATCCCTTATTAGGTGTGTTCTATGAATCGGTCACATGCTAATTATCTGAAGACAAATGAGTGAAATAATTTTGTAGCAACAGAAGCGAACGTCATCCTAAATATTCATGGTATCACAGAGTATGGCTTGGATTAAACCTATTGATAAAAAAAATAGAGCTCCCATGTTTTGCACTTAATTCGACAGGAGCAATACCGTCCAAAAGCCTCGCAAAACACACACGAAAGAGTGTATATTAAGGCAATAAAAGGCAAGCAAAATGAGTCAAACATGCAAAACAGATCAACGTCTAAGGGAATATCAAGCCCACGTTTAACCATTCTACATTTTATTCTTGTCTCTCTCCGCCTTTCATACGCGAGATTAAGGCTTGCTGTTGACGTTGCAGGATATTCCTCTCTTCGAAGGCATTGTGCAGGATTTGTTCCCCTCTGAGAAGGAGAGCGACATCACCACGGATCCTGCGCTGGAATCTGCTCTCAAGAACACTCTTGCTGAGAATAACTTACAGGTATTTTTATTGTTTTATATATCACTCTCACCCTCTGGCTCTCTCTCTCTCTCTCTCTCTCTCTCTCTCTCTCTCTCTCTCTCTCTCTCTCTCTCTCTCTCTCTCTCTCTCTCTCTCTCTCTCTCTCTCTCATTCTCATTCTCTTTCTCCCTCATTCTCATTCTCACTCATCTGTCTGTCTCTCACTGTCTTCTGTCTGTCTGTCTGTCTCTCTGTCTGTCTCTCTGTCTGTCTCTGTCTCTGTCTCTGTCTCTCTGTCTCTCTGTCTCTCTGTCTCTGTCTCTGTCTCTGTCTCTGTCTCTGTCTCTCTCTTTTCTCTCTCTCTTCTCTCTCTCTCTCTCTCTCTCTCTCTCTCTTCTCTCTCTCTCTCTCTCTCTCTCTCTCTCTCTCTCTCTCTCTCTCTCTCTCTCTCTCTCTCTCTCTCTCTCTCTCTCTCTCTCTCTCTCTCTCTCTCTCTCTCTCTCTCTCTCTCTCTCTCTCTCTCTCTCTCTCTACCTACCTACCTATCCATTCATCTATCCATCCATCTATCCATCCATCTATTAATTCCTTCTCTTTCTCCCCCAGGACGTCCCTTACTTCCGGGAGAAAATGATCCAGCTGTACAACATGGTCCTGGTCCGCCACGGGGTCATGGTCGTCGGAGAGCCACTCAGCGGGAAGACGAAGGTGTACCAGGTGGGTGGGTCCTGGCGACAGGTGGGGGGCAGTGGAGGGGAGATTTTGACTTAGGATAAACGTTTATTGACAGATCCTGGAACGTTTTTTGAGATTGTGAAATTTTGACTGAGGATAAACGTTTAATGACAGATCTGGGAACGTTTTATGAGATTGTGAAATTTTGATACAGGATAGAAGTTTATTGACAGATCCGGAAACGTTTTTTGAGATTGTGAAATTTTGACTGAGGATAAACGTTTATTGGCAGATCTGGAAACGGTTTTTGAGATTGAAATTTTGACATAGGATGAATATTTATTGACAGATCCTGGAACGTTTTTTGAGATTGTGAAATTTTGACAGGATAAACGTTTATTGACAGATCTGGGAACGTTTTTTTTTTTTTTGAGGTTGTGAAATTTTGACTTACGATAAACGTTTATTGGAAGATTCCGGGAACGTTTTTTGATATTGTGAAATTTTGATACAGGATAAACGTTTATTGGCAGATCCGAGAACGTTTTTTGAGACTGTGATGGATTAGGGGGAGGGTTGAGGGTGGTACAATGGGTATGGATATTTTATATATATTTTTTGTAGGGATGTTGGAATTTGTTCAATGTTTTGTGGATATTTTTGGGTAGGATTTTTATAAGATTGTTGCAATTTTAAGTATTTTTTCATAAGAAGATTAGAAGGTCAATTATTTTGTTATCTTAGAAAATGTACCAGAACTAAAAGGATTGCTTAAGTAGCTATAAGTTAGGTAATATTTACATTCATTTCTATCACATGTCATGGGAATTTATTGATTGCAATCCTGAGATTTTTTTATACAAAAATTTGTTTAAGAAATGCATAAATTCTGTTTGTGCGCCATAGCCATCTGTAATATATATCAATGAATATATTTTGCTTGCTGTAGATATATGTGTGTGATTACGTTTATGTTGTGTGTTAGTAGACTATCCAACTTTTGACTGGCATTAGATCATTTTGTAAGTAGATTTTACATTACCTATTACGTGAAAAATAGTATTGTATTTTTTGTATGTTTATGGCCAGTGATTTTCTCAACGTGACGTCAGAAAATGCAGTTGACTTCTATCACCATAGTTTGTCCATGTGTAAATTTGATAGAACTTATGAACCATATTTGCACACATATTTTCCTGTTTGATATAGTGCATGCCAGATTGTATTATATTTGTACTAGGATTTTATACAAGGAAGATAAGTAGATTAACTTGTAAATCATAGTTTGTATAAGGAATGGAAAGACACCTGAGGATATGAAAGGGAGAGAAGCGCCACACAGGTATGTAGGAGCAGTTATGGTCGAAAGTCCTGCTTCATTGGCGAGTTTTCTCGACGTAACGGCTCAAGCATCTTTGATCCCGTGACGTCATGATCACGTGATGATTTCGTTACGCTTTTGAATTCTGCCGCAAATACTCCATTTTTTTCTATTGTTATTGTTAAAGGAGCTGGTTATTTTGATTGTGCACCGTCACTTTAAAAAAGAGAAAAGAGTATGTATTTTAAATAAATAATTAAATAATAACTTTACAAAAGGCAATTAGCTTATATTGACTAGTTCTCGATCTGCACCATACAGGGACGTATGGCAGGATTTAGGGCAAATCGGGCAGGATTTTCGACCGTAAATGCACTTTCCAATAACGATAAGAAAAAAAAGAAGCATCACAAAAAAAAATTAATATAAAAAGTTCGAATGAGGGCCTTCAGTCGTGAGAAATTAGTGGACTTATTAAGAGATAGGAAAAAGAAAGCAAGTCAGAGTTGCAAGCTAGATCAAGTTACAGGAAAAAAAAAGCAAGTCAGAGTTGCTAGCCAGTTCAAGTTAGAGTTCCCAAATGCAAAACAAAGCAAGTCAAAGTTCCCAAAAGCAAAACAAAGCAAGTCCCAGCAAGTCACCCAAACGCAAGACGAGTCCCACAGGCGGAGCGAAGGAGCGGCCCCAGTGGTAACAAGGAGACGACGAAGGAAATGAGGAGGTTCAGCAGACAGGAAGAAAATATTTCACTATTGTCTAGAGTTTAATGTAATTTTCTATTTGTTGAGGTTAGGTTTTTGTGTAATTATTATCATTAGCAATTGCTGTCGGTATTATGATTAAGGTAAATATAATTGTTCTCATCAATTCTGCTCATATTTATGTATATATATGTATGCATACATGTTTTCTGTGTGTTTATATATATATATATATATATATATATATATATATATATATATATATATATATTTATATAAACACATATGTATGGATTTAGTTATCATGCTTTTCTTATAATGTCAACATCGCGTTAATGTTAGCTCAATGTTTTCTATAATTCTTATTCCCATTTCACTGCGAATATGATTGAGACAAAATCATATTCAGCTTAAATCAGTCCAAATCTCTACATTAAACCTTCAATAAAGAACCACACTCCACATGCTGTAACTTCAGTGAGTACACCTAACCCTTAAAAGAAAGAAAACATTTAAAACTGTTTTCCATTGATGGTTCAGTGGAAAACCTCCCCGTACTCTTAAACTTCTTTGGTCTCTCTCCCTCGCTCGTAACAAAAAAAACAAACAAAAAACATTGTGACTAACTTTCACCCTCAGGTATACCTTCTTCCCCTGGTATATTTTCTCCCCTCTGGTTTATGCTTCCCTATTTGGTTAATTTTACGCCCCTCCCCTTCTTTAGTTGAATCCCTGGGGGTAGATTTCTAAATGTCTCCCCTTAAAACTATTCCCCTTGGGCCAATTCTCTCTCTTGTCTCAAGTGGTTAAGACCTACCCTAAAGTCCCTCTTTCCCTGTGGTTAATCGCCTTCCCTCCCTCCCCCTGTGGTTAATTTCCCTCTTTCCATTCCCTTGGTTAACGCCCCTATCCCATTCCCTCCCTCCCCTGTGGTAACCCTTCTCACTCCCTTTCCTGTGGTTAACACTCCCTTCTTCCTTCCTCCCTCAATCTCCTTCCTCTCTCTCCCTCTCTCCCTCCCTCCCTCCTCTTTTCTCCCTCCATCTCTCCCTTCCTCCTTTCCTCTCCCCCTGCCTCCCTCCCTCTCTCTTTTTCTTTCCCTCCCTCCCTCCCTCCCGCTGCCCCCGAACCCCCGGAGCAACACAGTGCCAGGGTCTGCATCTCCCCTTCCAACCCTCAGACGCTGGCGAGGGCGCTGCAGCAGAAGGGCCGCCAGAGGAGACTCGGGATGTTCAAAGCCGTCATCAGAGGGGTCTCAGTCACCTTCCCTGGGATGCTTTTTTTGGATATGTTTTTTTTTCCTCCTAATATAATCTGAGTAGAGAAAACGTTGGCTCCGCTGTGGTTGATGATGGCTTTCATGTGGCAATAAATAAACCCATCTCTTGTGTTCCTTTTTTAAAATTTATTATTCATAGCTATAAACGTATTGGTTTTGATTGACTTTGCTGTTGTTTGGAGATGGTTTTTTAGCTCGTAGTGCCGTTTTGCTGCCTTGTGTACAGTACATGGGCTGAACACCTTGCTGGAGGGAGCTTTCTGTGCCTCTCTTGTCATTGGTTCACGTGATCGTTCTTCTGACCCGTGGTGTAAGAGCCATAATTATTTCTCTCTTTATTCGGATGACATTACTTCAGATTTTTTTTTCGTGCACAAAACACTTCACCTCCCTCTAAAGATGGTAGATTGTTGAGAATGTTACATTGTGTTTTTAATCTGTCGACTGGTATTATTATGATTATCTTAGCACTAAGAGACACTGGGCAGTATTCCAGGACCTTTGTATGAATTACATTTCTTGTGAAGAACCTTTGATAAAAGAGGGGGTCTCTTGGCTCTTTCTCTCTCTGTGCGCCTCTGGTGTTTCTGCTCTCTTGCTGTGTCCGTCCTGTCCTCGGGGTGGGTCTGCTCGTCAATGATCTGGGTGCTTGTGTCGCGCTCTCATGCCTCTCTCTCTTGCTCTTTTGCTTTTGTAATTTCTCGGGCGCATCCCTGGATTTTACGGCTTGCCTGAATAGGCTTACCTTATCTCTTGCATGCGCTTTCGCTAGCTCTGTTCGTAGTGGTGGCTCCTCTTTCCTCTCTAGCATTTCTGCGGTAATTTCGTTTTTCTGCAGCATATGGTCCAGCCATTGGGCACACAATGTTAACCAAAGTTGTTTGCATTTAGACCGGTCCTGTCCAATGCTCACCTAGGACAGACAGGTAATGGACACAGCGCGGAGAAGTATGGCACAACGAGTGGATCACCGTAGTTCTTTTTCAAACTTATTATCAGAAGATGAATGTAGTGCCATCTATTTTTATTTGTTAATGTACCTTTTGGGAGTATTGAGAGTTGACCATGCCGCAGCAGATTAAGGAAGGACCGAACGCACAAGAAGAGGAAGAGTGACTGTGAAACATAACCGAGCGAAGTGGTCCTGTGTCTATGGCATTTAGTCTCTTAATTGCGGTGATATCGGTGGTAGCCGCGCGGATCTTGCGAGAAGCCGTCGATCCGTCTTCGTTGACGCAACCTACCCATTTAGAAAGCCTGTGTCTCGTCTGTCTTGGTGATATTACAACCGCAGACACTGATCGGACAAGTTAAATTGGAGTGCGGACCAGGCTATCTCGGCGAATCCCGTAGCACCCAATCACTGTGTAGGACAGTGTGGCGGACCTGAATAAACAGGCAAGGTCAGAGAGAGACAGTGTGACCTTGAGCTGGACGGTCGCGAAGAAAAGACAAGGGTTCGAGAGTATCCCAGTATATAAGCGAGATCCGAAGATGCAACGTGATGAATACGATGAAGCAGGTATGATAAGAAGATGATCAGCACGTCCTGCCTGCGTGCATAGAGTCTGATTACACGACTGAAATTCATAACGGGGACCTTCCTCGCAATCGAAGGCTCCTATCTATCCATTTGATTTCTTATATCAAATTACAAAACCAAAAACACAAGAAAAAAACATAATATGTTTTTGTTGGATATTGTTCAAATCACAGGGAAATGATAATTGCTGGTATCGGTAGTGACGAATGGCGCATATACACACGTCGTCATGAGAATAGGTAAGACCATGTAGTATAATGTCGTGCATGAGTGGTATATGTTAGAAGGCATTAATGCACAATGACACGACAGATAGGTTTTCGCGAAATTTGTAATTATTGTAAGCAAATGGAGGTTTGTTGCACAAGACTATACAGTCGTGGTGAAACGGGAAAATGGATTGTGTTGACTCTTTAATATTTTGTAGTTAATATATGTAAGGGATCGATAAATAAATAAGAAATATATGAGATAGATAAATAGGCACAGTGAATTAAAACCGAATAAATTGGTGTGGTTTATGTTTATTTTTTTGGAGAAGGTGGACTACCTACGTAAAAATCCTTGATTCTATTAATCCACCAAGGAACCCGTTCATAAGAATTCGCTTATCATAAAAATTGAATAGGAACGGGCGTATTTGAAGGCAGCAAATAAAATCATCATCTTAAGGAAACATGCCAGAAAGATTAGAAAATACAAAATAATATACCAGGCACGCAGAGAGATCTTTTTTTTTTTTTTCCTCAAGAAGGATCCCTTATGTCTGCGCATAGTCGTGGCAAACTTTCACCAATGAGAGGGTGATACAATTTAGTCGAGAAGTGGCGCGTATGTGGTTTGCTGCGCAGTAGTTGCCGAAATACGGGTGGCGAGTGTTTCCAAGAGTTTATGAGCTTTTGAGGGGATGGAAATTTTAATTTATTCTATATGTGGCGATTTTTTAAATAGTACCTGTTTTTGGAATGGGGTATATATTAATTAAGATTTTTTTCATCTTCTTAGAGCTCTACCGGCGGCGGATGGTTTAAGTCCACGGGAGTATGTAAGAGAAGGTTAGGTATTGTGGAGTGTGCAGGGGCAACACTGTTTGTGCATGGTTGGTAGTTAGTGAGACTTGTGTATTCGGTGCCTGTGTGTTATTCGTAATAATTGTTGATAGAATAAACTAAATGATCGGTGTTTATGTGAATGGTTTTTAGTTACAGATTATAAAGATAAAGCATAGTTCACGTGAAAGAAAGCTTTTAATGCTAGTGATTTCGCTTAAAGTATGAGACTCATAGCACCATTGTTGAGAAATTATTACAAAATATCCATGCAGTGTCTTGTGTTATCACTAAAACTAAAAAGCGCGCTACATTCGAGATTTGTTAAAATGAGGACCAGGTTAGTCTTTGTAGCTGTACATGATCTAAATTCGCAAAAAAGAAAAAAGGAGAAATCTCGATATGTGAGCTAAATAACGGTGCATAATACCAAAGATTATAGGGATTCATAGTGCTTGGGATTTAAAAAGCACGTAAAAAGGATTGGTTTGGTGCGCTCAACAGATATAAGGGTTGAAATCTTTGTCCCTTGTTCGGTTCATCGTAATCTGTCTCATTTATTTTATTGTATTCTAAACAAGAAAAGGAAAAATCGTGTATGTCAGATTTTCAAACAAAATACAAAAAAGCAAACCAAAATATGGTGACTGGAAGCAGATTTGTTTATATATACTCAATTTGGAGGTTCGCAAATGGTTAAGAAAATTAGGGAAAAGTCGACACATGAGAAGGGAGTGGAACTAAGAGAAGTGTAAGTATATCTGATTATCGAGGGTTAGATATCAAAACGGGACACTTGTAGCGAAAGAGGTACACTTGAGCCAGCGCCGTGGACAAGGTCGGGCAGAGTAGAAGGAAGATGAGCGATCGAGAAGCGCGGAAGCGTGCCCAAGTTCAAGAATTTATAAACCCTAGACACTCACACTGCGTGGAGAAGCGCTAGGCTAGTACGGGGGGCATAACGAATGCCCTTCTCACTCGCAAGAATGTACGGACACGGTAAGGGCGGTTTAGTGCATCGTCGATAAGTTGTTGATTGTTTCTTGCTTGCCGTGCTTTTGAGAAGAATGGATATTGTTAGATATTTGGGAAAGTGGTTGAAATAGTTATAGTAAGTAAGAGATAGCGGTCTGTGTGTATGTGATGTGTGTGACTGTGATTGTACTAGCGACTGAGCTAACTAAACTACTGCGAAATGAATGAACACAAACCCTCCAGCGCGACGCCTTCCGGTCATCATTATCAGAGTCGTTCCCCACCGAGGAGAGTGGTGGGGATACCCTCAGCCGAACCCCTGGCACCATTGAACACAGAGAAAATATGACTCACAACTTTATCCTACCGTGACCATCGCCGACGGACACTTATGCCACGTCCTCCGCGAACGGACAGCAGCAGGTCCGCAATAGCGCTTCCCTCCGGAACGCTCGGCACACTGCTGCATTACCCTTACTTCCGCACGGAGCCATCGCACCGTGCGCCCACGAAAAGGCTCTCGACGTGTGTCCGTGCAACGCTCCTACCCTCCAATCCTTCTCCGCGTCCACCCTCACGAGAAGTGACCGCTCCCTCCTCCTCCCCCCGTCCATACCCATACTGCCTTGCGCTACATTCCCATCCCTGCCTCCTCCCGGTCCCTCCGCTCCGCATCCGCCTCCCTCAAGTTACCGTTCCTCCGCATCGGCGCTCCTCCTACTTCCGCTCGACTGTCCCTTGGCGACATCCCTGCACTCGCGCACCGCCCCGTCCCCTGCCTTCCCGCAAGGCGTGCTCGGCGAAAGACCGTTCCGGAGAGTGAGCGAGCGTCGGAACTGCCGAGGAGAGCGAATGGCCGCTGGCCTTGGATGGCCTGGACGGTGCCCGTGACGGAGCGCTGGGTCTGATGTAACCGTGCAACACGGTACTTAGACGAGCAACAAGACAGCTGTGTCTCAGTGTCGGGAGAAATTATAACAGGTTTGGATTTTGATTGTTTTAAGGGTGTCGCGTAAGAGTGATTTTAGTATTTGGGAAAGGTGTTCCAAGGATTGAAATTAGGTAGGAGATGGGTGAGAGGATGGTTACTGAGTTAGTATACAGACAAAGTTGGAAATATTTGTGATCCTTATAGGGAGAAGGGAAGGAAGTTGATGTAATAAAGATGAGTAGATGTGGATCGAGGAGGGTGGGAGTGCGTTGATAGGATTGTTATTGAAGAATGGGTGAGGAGAGGCATGGTTATAACTGGAGGGGAGTATGAGTTATGAAAGATAGAAAATGATGATAATGGAGTGGAATAAGAGATATGATGGGATATGGGAGTGAGTGAGAGGATAATTATAATTGAACTCGGGAAACAGATACATTAGTCATCGATGTTAGTGCAAAGCGCATCAGCTATTACTGTATAGAAACAACTTAAACCATATACTGCGCCCCCTTCTGCGCTCTCCTTCATCCTTCTCACTTTCTTCGCTTTCCTTCTCCCTCTGCGGTGGTTGAAAGCGGCTTCGCTCCCTCTCCCTCTCTTAATATACTTCTGCTCGCCCCCTCTCTCGTTCCGCTCATATCATCTCCTGCTCTGCCTTGAGAGGCACGGGGCAGATGGAGTCGTCATCATTCGAGAGCGTCGGACCTGGAGCAGGAAGACTTCACCCGCGGGACGACATAGTTTCTCGTTGTGGAATGATCTACCATGAGAAAACGAGAGAGCTTAGCTGGGGTGAGAGGCGCTCAATTTTGGTACGGTTTGTGGGAGTTGTAGTATTGATGTGTTGTGGTTGTTGGTTGAATTTTTTTGTTAATATGCGTAGGTGAGTGGGTGTGTTGTCTTGGTTGTGGTTGTGAAGGTGTCGGGGTTTTGAATTATCGTTGGTATGGTTAATGATGCAGTTTGTTGATGTGGTTATTATTATTTAGTTTTTTAGTGTTTTTGTTTCTGTACGGGTTGTTTGAGCTGTGGTTGTGTAAATAAGTGAACAATGCAATGCAATTAGGATGTGCATAAAATCGAAACCTGCCTTGGCGCTCGAAGTAACATGACCTTAACCTCCTCAGGACTCCTACCTGGCCGCCCTCCCCGTGGCCGTGACTGACCCCGTGAAGGAGATGGTGAACGAGGTCCTGGAGTGGCTCCTCCCCCCCGTCTACGACTTCGTCAGGGAAGAAAGTGCAAGTTTATGATCCACACTTCCGAGCTTCATCTGTTCCAGGTAGTGTTTAATGCTCTGGTGTCTCGTCTTTTTTTAGTTTTTGTTTTTGTTTCTAATGTTATTGTTTTTTGTTGTTGATGTTACTGGTGTTTTTTTTATGTTTTCGTTTCATATGACTTTCTCGGGATTTGAGATACGGTTTGGTTTGTTATTTATTTATGGTTTTAGAGACTTCACAGCGTCTTTTTTTCTTGTAATATCTCTACACCTCTCGTTTATTTCATTAACAAGCGTAATTTTATGTCACGATACTGAACAAACAAACATGATAAACAATCACTCAACCTAATACTTAAAAAAGAAACCTTAAAGTCTTAAACGCTACACTTGTCTCTTCGCTTCCTTTGGTGCAGTCGTTCTCACACCTCCTGGACTCCCTGCTGGATGAGGTTCGAGAAGCCGGCAAGCCCCTTGGACCCAAAATCTCTGAGGACAAGATGACGACGCTCCTGCAGTCCCTCATCGTCTTCACCATCCCGTGGACTATCGGTTCTACCATTAAGCAAGGTTTCAGGGATAGATAGAGTAGATACGGTAGGTAGATAAATAGGATAGAATTAGGTAGAGATAGATTATGATCTAGATAGATTAGAATAGATAGATAGAGTAGAGGTAGATCTATGATGGGTAGGGTGGGATACTAGCGTGGGCAGTAGGTAGGTATATGGGCTTTGTGGTAGGATAGTGTAGGTAAGAGATAGAGATAGATGTAAGGTAGTTAATATTAGATAAATAAGTAAGATTTTATACATACAATACATACATATAACATAAAAATAAGCATACGATTATACATACACAATACAGTATAATACATACTAACTCATACAATACATACTATACATATCATACATACATACATAGCATAAAATACATACATACTATACATACATACTCAGTCAATACATACATACAATATTATACATAAAGTAGCATAACATACAGTACATAACCATACATACATATCATATACATTTGCAAAATACGAGAGGTAGATAGACAGACAGGCAAGCATGTGATCAGATGAATAGATAAATAGAATTAAGAGATAAGAATAGGAGACCAATATATATTTTTTCTCTCAGACATCTATCATCCTAATTAGACAAATCGACGCACAGATGCATCCCCGAGATGCTAAAACCACATTGCCCCTTTTTCAACCGTTCCACAATTGGCACGCGGGCCCCTGCCCACAGCACCCACAGCATCAACCGCTAAGACCCGCTCCCCCGCAAGCAACCCGACGAGCGATCAACCCCAGACTCCGCACGCCCGGGCAATAGCACCACAGCATTAACGCCCAAGTACCCCCCCTCTCTGCCCTTCCGTGCCTCTTCCCCAGGCACGAGTCGGCGCCTATTCGACCAGTATTTCCGGAGTCTGGTGCTTGGCCGCCTACGATCGCTTCGCCAAACCCGAGTGTTTTAAACTGACGAAGGGGTAGGTGGGGCTGTTTTAATTTTTTATGATAATGATTGTAAGATGATAAAAAAAATAAACAATGATGATAATGATGGATGGTGATGGTGTTTTTCTTCTCGGCCATTAGCGCTATATTTTATAATCATCTTCTCTCTCTCTTGATCTCTGTCTCTCTCTCCTCTCTCTCTGCTCTCATCTCTCTCTCTTCTCTCGATTCTCATCGTCTCTCAGGGTCGTGCTCTCTGCGGTCGAATCAGCTCTCTCGTCTAATACATCCTCTCTCGTCTCTCTCTCTGCTCATCGGTCTTCTATTCGTCAAAAAGATAAATTCTGGTGAGACGTCTTTGTGTTTCTCTCTAACATCTGCCTCCCTGCTCTCCCTCGCCTCCCCTCTCATGCCCTCTCCTTCTCCTTCTCCCAGTTTTTGCCCTCTCCCTCTCTTATATCCGTCCTTCCTTCCGCTTCTTCCCTCCTCCCTCTCCCTCCCTTCCTGTGCCCTTCCCATTCCCTTCCCTCCCTCCCTGCTCTCCCTCCTCCCTCCCTCCCCCCTCCCTCCTCCCTCCCTCCCCTCCTCTCCCTCCCTCCCTCCCTCCTTCCTCCCTTCCCTCCTGCTTCCTCCCTCCTCCCTCCCTCCCTCCCTCCCTCCATCCTCCTTCCCTCCTCTTCCCTCCCCTCCCACCCCCCTTTCTTCCTCCCTTCCTCCCTTCCCTTCCCTTCCGCCCCCCCCACACTTTCTCCCTCGCCTCCCTTCCCTTCCCTTCCTCCCACCCCCCACACTTTCTCCCTCCCTCCCTTCCCTTCCCTTCCTCCACCCCCACACTTTCTCCCTCTCCTTCCCCTCTCCTCTGCTCCCTTCCCCCCTTTCCTACCTCCTTCCCTCTTTTCCGCCTCCCCCCTCTTCCTGCGCCAGGATGCTTCCCCAGAGAGCGGTCTTCGTGTACCGTCACTACCTGTACGAGCGGGAAGAACGCAGCGTGGGTCCCCGGTATGAATACCCATGATAAGGAGAGGCTCGTCATCCCCCCCCGCTAAGGTAGGCGGTGTGAGGACTTTGGGGTGATGGCTTTGGATGACTCTTTTTTAATTGAGTGGGATTGGTGACTTCTTTGGGATGATTGTTGGTGTTTTTTTGTTTTGTTTGTTTGTTTGTTTTGGGGGTGACTTTTTGATGACTTTTTAATTGAGTAGGGCTGATGACTTCTGTGGGATGACTGTTGATGATTTGTGATTGAGTACGTTGAATGATTGATATATGGTAATTGTTTTTATTTTTTATGGGCATGTGTGTAGTTGGTATGATGTTGTGATGACTTTCGCGTGATGACTAATGATCGGGAACATGTATGGGTTATACTGGCTGGGATTGTTTATGATTCTGTGATGAGCATGCGCATGGCCAAAGTGGTGTTGTGATGATTTTGTGTGATGATTGTTGGTGATATGTTATGATCATCCGTATGGTTGATATAGTGTTATGATGAAAGCTGTGAGATGACTTTTTTTTTTTTTTTTTTTTTTAGTATATCTCTGATTAAAGTGATATTGTTATGATTTGTGATGATTCATGTGTGATGAGTCACTGGTGGTTTTAATGCTTATGTTTTAGGTAGGATAATGTTCTTAACAATCATATGCTAAACCCATGTTTTGGACTATACAAATCAATAGTGATTATATAAGCATCATTCTTTCACAGTATTGATTTTAATATAATGTCATTTGATGATTATGGGAATCAATTGAATTGCTTGATTAATATGATACTGTAGACTTATATAAGAATTTCCTTAATGAGCTTGCTTTCGAATTTCAAATAGAAATACATCATACTTTGCCATCGAGCCTGAACATATATGTACGCTTGTATGGCAAATGATACATACGCACTCGTAATGTACAGTAACCCATTGTGCTTTTTGTAACATTTCTGTCATTTCTCTCTCTTGAATTGTCACTGACTCTTTAACGTTGTCTTGTCACGCTATTTGCATGTGATTTGCTGCTCCTCATTAAACACGTGCATGCGAGGTTCTTCGGCTTGTCAACTCCGTGATTTATCCTTCGGTCACTCAAGGATGTGAGTAGATATTTTGGCACGTGGAATCTTGTAGTTATTTTGATCTTTAGTAATGGTGGTGGTGGTTGTAAGAGGAGGAGTAGTAGTTGTAGTAGAAATAGTAGTTGTTGAAGTAGTAATAGTAATAAAAGTATTGGTGACAGTTGTAAAAGTAGTAGTAGTAGTAGGAGGAGGAGAAGGGGGAGGAGGAGAAGGGGGGAGAGGAGAAGGGGGAGGAGGAGAAGGGGGAGGAGGAGAAGGGAGAGGAGGAGGAGGAGAAAGAGGAGAAAAAGGAAGTTGAGAATTAGTAGTAGTAGTAGCAGCTGGGCACTAGCAGAGAAGGAGAAGCAAAATATTGTAATTCATACGCGTATGGAATGGCTAGTAAAAAAGTAGAGTTCATGGCAATCGCAGCAGGTGGAGATGGGGATGAATTAATAGCAGTAGCAGTAGGAGAAGAGGTTAAAGGGAAGGCCTGTTGCATGTGTAGCGCAAATATATTGTTCTAGTAGACAGTCACAAAAAGCTATGGGCATCATCATCACGATAAAGAAACCCTATCCAACCCTTTGATAAAACCCTATTCAACTCTTTGATAAAACCCTATCCAAGCCTTTAAATAAACCCATCCAACCCTTTAAAGAAACCCTATCCAACCCTTTGATAAAACTCTATCCAACGCTTTAAAGAAATCCATCCAACCCTTTAAAGAAAACCTATCCAACCCTTTAAATAAACCCTATCCGACCCTTTAAAGAAACCCATCTAACCCCTTAAAGAAATCCTATCCAACCTTTTCAAGAAATCCTATCCAACCTTTTAAGGAAATTCTATCCAACCCTTTAAAGAAACCCTATCCAACCCTTTGATAAAACCCTATCCAACCCTCTAAAGAAACCCATCCAACCCTTTGATAAAACCCTATCCAACCCTTTAAAGAAACCCAATCCAACCCTTTGATAAAACCCTATCCAACCCTTTAAAGAAACCCTATCCAACCCTTTGATAAAACTCTATCCAACCCTGCTATCCCATCCAACCCTTTTAAAGAAACCTATCCAACCCTTTATAAAACCCTATCCAAACCCTCTAAAGAAACCCATCCAACCCTTTGATAAAACCCTATCCAACCCTTTAAAGAAACCCAATCCAACCCTTTGATAAAACCCTATCCAACCCTTTTAAAGAAACCCTATCCAACCCCTTTAAAAGAAACCCTATCCAAACCCTTTGATAAAACCCTATCCAACCCTCTAAAGAAAACCCATCCAACCCTTTGATAAACCCTATCCACCCTTTAAAGAAACCCTATCCAACCCTCTTGATAAAAGATCCAACCTAAAGAAACCCATCCAACCCTTTGATAAAACCCTATCCAACCCTCTAAAGAAACCCATCCAACCCTTTGATAAAACCCTATCCAACCCTTTAAAAAACCCAATCCAACCCTTTGATAAACCCTATCCAACCCTCTAAAGAAACCCATCCAACCCTTTGATAAAACCCTATCCAACCCTTTGATAAAACCCTATCCAACCCTCTAAAGAAACCCATCCAACCCTTTGATAAAACCCTATCCAACCCTCTAAAGAAACCCATCCAACCCTTTGATAAAACCCTATCCAACCCTTTAAAGAAACCCTATCCAACCCTTTGATAAAACCCTATCCAACCCTCTAAAGAAACCCAATCCAACCCTTTGATAAAACCCTATCCAACCCTCTAAAGAAACCCATCCAAACCCTTTGATAAAAACCCTATCCAACCCTCTAAAGAAACCCAATCCAACCCTTTGATAAAACCCTATCCAACCCTTTAAAGAAACCCTATCCAACCCTTTAAAGAAACCCAATCCAACCCTTTGATAAAACCCTATCCAACCCTTTGATAAAACCCTATCCAACCTTTGATAAAAACCCCAATCCAACCCTTAAAAAACCCTATCCAACCCTCTAAAGAAACCCATCCAACCCTTTGATAAAACCCTATCCAACCCTCTAAAGAAACCCCATCCAACCCTTTGATAAAACCCTATCCAACCCTTTAAAGAAACCCCTATCCAACCCTCTACCCATTTTGATAAAACCCTATCCAACCCTTTTTGATAAAACCCTATCCAAACCCTTTAAAGAAACCGCTATCCAACCCTTTGATTAAAACCCTATCCAACCCCTTTGAAAAAAACCCTATCCAACCCTTTTATAAAACCCTATCCAACCCTTCTAAAAGAAACCCTATCCAACCCTTTGATAAAACCCTATCCAACCCTCTAAAGAAACCCATCCAACCCTTTGATAAAACCCTATCCAACCCTCTAAAGAAACCCTATCCAACCCTTTGAAAAACCCTATCCAACCCTAAGAAAACCCATCCAACCCTTTGAAAAAACCCTATCCAACCTTTTGATAAAACCCTATCCAACCCTTTAAAGAAAACCCCATCCAACCCTTTGATAAAACCCTATCCAACCCTTGAAAAACCATCCAACCCTCTAAAGAAACCCATCCCCTTAAAGAAATCCTATCCAACCTTTTTGAAACCTATCCAAACCTTTTAAGAAATCTTCCGAAAAACCCTATCCAACCCTTTGATAAAACCCTATCCAACCCTCTAAAGAAACCCATCCAACCCTTTGATAAAACCCTATCCAACCCTCTAAAGAAACCCATCCGATAAAAACCCATATCCCAACCCTTTAAAGAAACCCTATCCAACCCTTTGAAAAACCCTATCCAACCCTCTAAAAGAAACCCAATCCAAACCCTATCCAATTAAAGAAACCCATCCAACCCTTTGATAAAAACCTATCCAAACCCTCTAAAGAAACCCATCCAACCCTTTGATAAAACCCTATCCAACCCTCTAAAAAGAAAACCCAATCCAACCCTTGATAAAACCCTATCCAACCTCTAAAGAAACCCAATCCACCCTTTGATAAAACCCTATCCAACCCTCTAAAGAAACCCATCCAACCCTTGATAAAAACCCTATCCAACCCTCTAAAGAAACCCATCCAACCCTTGATAAAACCCTATCCAAACCCTTTAAAGAGAAAACCCTATCCAACCCTTTGATAAAACCCTATCCAACCCTCTAAAGAAAACCCATCCAACCCCTTTTGATAAAACCCTATCCAACCCCTCTAAGAAACCCATCCAACCCTTTGATAAAACCCTATCCAACCCTCTTATTCCAACCCTTTGATTAAAACCCTATCCAACCCTTAAGCCCTCCAACCCTTTGATAAAACCCTATCCAACCCTTTAAAGAAACCCTATCCAACCCTTTGATAAAACCCTATCCAACCCTCTAAAGAAACCCAATCCAACCCTTTGATAAAACCCTATCCAACCCTTAAAAAACCCTATCCAACCCTTTGCCCTCCAACCCTAAAGAAACCCAATCCAACCCTTGATAAAACCCTATTCCAAACCCTCTAAAGAAACCCATCCAACCCTTTAATAAAACCCTATCCAACCCTCTAAAGAAACCCAATCCAACCCTTTGATAAAACCCTATCCAACCCTCTAAAGAAACCCATCCAACCCTTTGATAAAACCCTATCCAACCCTTTGATAAAACCCTATCCAACCCTTTAAAGAAACCCTATCCAACCCTTTGATAAAACCCTATCCAACCCTTTAAAGAAACCCATCCAAACCCTTTGATAAAACCCTATCCAACCCTCTAAAGAAACCCAAATCCAACCCTTAAAAAACCCTATCCAACCCTCTAAAGAAACCCATCCAACCCTTTGATAAAACCCTATCCAACCCTCTAAAGAAACCCAATCCAACCCTTTGATAAAACCCTATCCAACCCTCTAAAGAAACCCAATCCAACCCTTTGATAAAACCCTATCCAACCCTTTAAAGAAACCCTATCCAACCCTTTGATAAAACCCTATCCAACCCTCTAAAGAAACCCATCCAACCCTTTGATAAAACCCTATCCAACCCTCTAAAGAAACCCATCCAACCCTTTAAAGAAACCCTATCCAACCCTTTGATAAAACCCTATCCAACCCTTTGATAAAACCCTATCCAACCCTTTAAAGAAACCCTATCCAACCCTTTGATAAAACCCTATCCAACCCTTTAAAGAAAACCCATCCAACCCTTTGATAAAACCCTATCCAACCCTAAAGAAACCCATCCAACCCTTTGATAAAACCCTATCCAACCCTCTAAAGAAACCCATCCAACCCTTTGATAAAACCCTATCCAACCCTCTAAAGAAACCCAAACCTCCCTAAACCCTCTTATCCACCCTTGATAAAACCCTATCCAACCCTTTAAAGAAACCCTATCCAACCCTTTGATAAAACCCTATCCAACCCTCTAAAGAAACCCATCCAACCCTTTGATAAAACCCTATCCAACCCTCTAAAGAAACCCATCCAACCTTTGATAAAACCCTATCCAAACCCTCTAAAGAAACCCTATCCAACCCTTTGATAAAAACCCTATCCAACCCTTTAAAGAAAACCCATCCAACCCTTTGATAAAACCCTATCCAACCCTCTAAAGAAACCCAATCCAACCCTTTGATAAAACCCTATCCAACCCTCTAAAGAAACCCAATCCAACCCTTTGATAAAACCCTATCCAACCCTTTGATAAAACCCTATCCAACCCCTCCCTATCCAAGAAACCCATCCAACCCTTTGATAAAACCCTATCCAACCTTTAAAGAAACCCTATCCAACCCTTTGATAAAAACCCTTATCCAACCCTTAAAAAACCCTATCCAACCCTTTGATAAAAACCCTATCCAACCCTTAAAGAAAACCCTATCCAACCCTTTGAAAAACCCTATCCAACCCTCTAAAGAAACCCATCCAACCCTTTGATAAAAAACCCTATCCAACCCTGAAAACCCTAACCCTCCCTATCCAACCCTTTAAAGAAACCCTATCCAACCCTTTGATAAAACCCTATCCAACCCTCTAAAGAAACCCTATCCAACCCTTGATAAAACCTATCCAACCCTGAAAGAAACCCTATCCAACCCTTGATAAAACCTATCCAACCCTTTAAAGAAACCCTATCCAACCCTTTGATAAAACCCTATCCAACCCTCTTAAAGAAAACCCATCCAACCCTTTGATAAAACCCTATCCAACCCTTTAAAGAAACCCTATCCAACCCTCCCTATCCAACCTCTTCCAACCCTTGATAAAACCCTATCCAACCCTCTAAAGAAACCCAATCCAACCCTTTGATAAAACCCTATCCAACCCTCTAAAGAAACCCTATCCAACCCTTTGATAAAACCCAATCCAACCCTCTAAAGAAACCCAATTTGATAAAACCCTATCCAACCCTCTAAAGAAACCCTATCCAACCCTTTGATAAAACCCTATCCAAACCCTCTAAAGAAACCCTATCCAACCCTTTGATAAAACCCTATCCAACCCTCTAAAGAAACCCATCCAACCCTTTGATAAAAACCCTATCCAACCCTTTAAAGAAACCCTATCCAACCCCTTTGATAAAACCCTATCCAACCCTCTAAAGAAACCCATCCAACCCTTTGATAAAACCCTATCCAACCCTCTAAAGAAACCCAATCCAACCCTTGATAAAACCCTATCCCAACCCTTTAAAGAAACCCTATCCAAGATAAACCCTATCCAACCCTCTAAAGAAACCCTATCCAACCCTTTGATAAAACCCTATCCAACCCTCTAAAGAAACCCATCCACCCCCCTATCCAACCTCTAAAGAAACCCATCCAACCCTTTGATAAACCCTATCCAACCCCCTATCCAACCCTCTAAAGAAACCCAATCCAACCCTTTTGATAAAACCCTATCCAACCCTCTAAAGAAACCCAATCCAACCCTTTGATAAAACCCTATCCAACCCTCTAAAGAAACCCAATCCAACCCTTTGATAAAACCCTATCCAACCCTTTAAAGAAACCCTATCCAACCCTTTGATAAAACCCTATCCAACCCTCTAAAGAAACCCATCCAACCCTTTGATAAAACCCTATCCAACCCTCTAAAGAAACCCATCCAACCCTTTAAAGAAAACCCTTCCAACCCTATTAAAAACCCTATCCAACCCTTTGATAAAAACCCTATCCAACCCTTTAAAGAAAACCCTATCCAACCCTTTGATAAAACCCTATCCAAACCCTTTAAAGAAACCATCCAACCCTTTGATAAAACCCTATCCAACCCTTTAAAGAAACCCTATCCAACCCTTGATAAAACCCTATCCAACCCTCTAAAGAAACCCATCCAACCCTTTGATAAAACCCTATCCAGAAACCCATCCAACCCTTTAAAGAAACCCTATCCAACCCTTTGATAAAACCCTATCCAACCCTCTAAAGAAACCCTATCCAACCCTTTGATAAAACCCTATCCAACCCTCTAAAGAAACCCAATCCAACCCTTTGATAAAACCCTATCCAACCCTTTAAAGAAACCCTATCCAACCCTTTAAAGAAACCCTATCCAACCCTTAAAGAAACCCAATCCAACTTTGATAAAACCCTATCCCAACCCTTTAAAGAAACCCAATCCAAACCCTTTTGATAAAACCCTATCCAACCCTTTAAAGAAACCCTATCCAACCCTTTGATAAAACCCTATCCAACACTTTAAAGAAACCCAATCCAACCCTTTGATAAAACCCTATCCAACCCTTTAAAGAAACCCTATCCAACCCTTTGATAAAACCCTATCCAACCCTCTAAAGAAACCCATCCAACCCTTTGATAAAACCCTATCCAACACTTTAAAGAAACCCAATCCAACCCTTTGATAAAACCCTATCCAACACTTTAAAGAAACCCTATCAAACCCTTTGATAAAACCCTATCCAACCCTTTAAAGAAACCCATCCAACCCTTTGATAAAACCCATCCCAACCCCTTAAAGAAACCCTATCAAACCCTATAAAAAAATCCCGACCCTTCACCCCATCCGAGTAACCCCCAACACGCACTCTCGACCCCACACAGGTCTCGACGCTCCTGATCCCGACGGCGGAGACAGCGCGCCTCGAGTTCTTCCTGAGGACCTGCCTGGACCACGACGTCCCCCTGCTGGTGCTGGGTCCTTCGGGCACGGGCAAGAGTGCCTCCACCACGAGCCTGCTGGTGGACCTCCCGAAGGACAAGTTCATCGTCAACATCGTCAACTTCTCGGCCAGGACGTCCGCCAGCCAAGCGCAGGATATTATCATGTCCAAAGTTGACAGGTTGGGAACGTGTTTGGCAGATGTTCTCGGGGGAGGGGGGGGGGATTTTTAATGATGATTGTTAATGATTGTTATTATGTTTTGATAATGATGAGATTCCAGGGACATTGATGGAATAGTATGAATGATACTCATAAGTAATAATGTGGCTGATACGAATGATTATAAAGTAGATTATGATGATTTAAAGTGCAGTAACAATTATGATGTAAGAAATCTGATGGCAGATAGGATGAACTCCCTTGCGCTCTCTTTTTCTCCTTGACTTCATTAATCAGTACAAGCATCGTTTTTCTGCTTCGATACATTTCGTGATGCATACCCAAATCCCAGTCTGTTTCGCAGAACGTTTGTTAGTGCAGTCTCCATCCCGAAGGCAAACGTTCTTGTGTTATGCACATTTCCCTCACCGATCCCCAAATCCCATACTATCTCCGGAATTCCCTCCTTTTACCTCCCTTAAACCTCTACCTGCATTATTAATGTCTCCATCCCCGCCCACGTCTCCTCCCCCCCCCCCCCCATAGACGAAGGAAGGGCGTGTTCGGGCCGGCCATGGGGAGGAAGTACGTGGTGTTCATCGACGACGTGAACATGCCTCAGAAGGAGCCTTACGGTGCGCAGCCTCCGATCGAGTTCCTGCGGCAGTGGCTCGACCACAAGCACTTCTACGACAAGAAGGATACGTCCAAGATCGAGCTGGTGGATTCGGTAAGTGGGTGAGATAGTAGGTAGGTAGGTAAGTAAGTTGGTGAGAAAGTAGGTAGGTAAGTAGGTAAGTTAGTTGGTAAGCAAAGAAGCAAGTAAAGTAACTAAGTAAGTAGGTAAGAAAGTAAGTAGTAAGGTGTCTCAGGAAGTGGGTAAGTTGGTGAGAAAGTAGGTAGGTAAGTGGGTTTGTTAATAGGTAAGCAAATAAGTAAAGTAAATTAGTAAGTAGGTAAGGAAGTTGGTGGGAAAGTGGATAGGTAAGCAAGTAAGTAAGTAAAGAAAGGAAGTGAGTTGGGGTTGATTACGTTTTAGTTTTACTTTGCGTTAGGCCTTACTATTGGAGAAAACTTGTACCATGGGTTGTGTTTCCGTTCGGTGTGTTTGCTTTTGTAGTAAAGGTATGAATGAGAATGAATAGTTTCACAATTCAAGAGGTGTATTTGACCGGTTTCGAAAAAAAAATCACCGAAAATCCTGAGCTATATATATATATCTGAAACCGATCAAATACATCTCTTGTGCTGTTATTTGACCGGTTTCGAATATATTTTCTTACATCTCTTGTATTGTGAAGATATTCATTCTCATTCATACCTTTACTACATTTGTCAACGTGAATACGGTGTTTGCTTTTGTTGTGAATTCGGTAATTTGGAGTTAGTTGCATTGTTTTTTTGTTGTTGTTTTTTTGTATTTATTCGCTGGAGGTGGGGGTATTGGTGTCAAGAAGGGGGAGGGAGGGGGTAAAGGATTTTAGTTTGGGGTTAAATGTTGTGGTTGTGATTCAGTTTGGTGTGCTTGAGTTGTTGTGAAGTCGATAAAGGCTCTTATTTCTTTCCTTTTGGGGGGTTATTTTCTTGTAGTGTATTTATTTTGAGTCCAGTATCTATGAATGTTACGAATATACGAATATATAACGTCATTAATAAAAGAAACTATCCTTCTCTCTCCCTCTCCACCTCTCTCTCTCTCTCTCTCACTCTCTCTCTCTCTCTCACTCTCTCTCACTCTCTCTCTCTCTCTCTCACTCTCTCTCTCACTCTCTCTCACTCTCACTCTCTCTCACTCTCTCTCTCTCTCTCTCTTCTCTCTCTCTCTCTCTCTCTTCTCTCTCTCTCTCTCTCTCTCTCTCTCTCTCTCTCTTCTCTCTCTCTCTCTCTCCTCTCTCTCTCTCTCTCTCTCTTCTCTATTCTTTCCTCTCCCTCTAATTCTCTCTCTTCCTCTCCCTCTAATTCTCTCGCTTCCCTCTCCCTCTCCTCTCCCTCCCTTTCTCCCTCCCTTTCTCCCCTCCCTCTCTTTCTTTCTACCTCCCTCTTTCCTTCTCTCCCTCTCCTTCCCTCTCTCCCTCTCCCTCTCCCTTCCAGCTATTCGTGGGCGCCATGGGTCTCCCAAGCTCCGGCCGCAACACCATCTGCGGGCGGTTCACTCGACACCTCAACGTGATCTGCATCGATGAGTTCGACGACGCCACCCTCGACAAGATCTACGGGTCGGTGGTCAAGTGGCACTTCGCCCAGCACGAGGACGCGGCCATGCAGAGCCTCGACAAAGTAGGTGGGGCTGGGATGAGGGTTGGGGGCGTGTGGGGGTGGGTGGGGTCAGGTGTTGGGGGTCAGGGGTGTTGGGGGATGGGGGGGGGAGTTGGGTGGGGGTAAAGCGTGTTTATGATTGGATATTTTGTTTATTTTGTTTGATTATTTGTATTATTAAGAATTATTATTTTGTGATTTTTGAATGATGCCATTCTGGTGTTATTTACGAATGGGAATGGCGTTTGTCGGAATTTATGTTTGAAAACGCCCCTGAGGCATAATTATATATATGAAATTATTCCCAAGGCGTCATATTTCGTCACCCAACGTTGGCGAGTACCCGAATATCCTCCTAAAAATCCTTCGCAGTAGAGAATTATCCTCTACAGGAAATCCCTGAGTTTAATCCTCCTTCTCCTTCCCTTCTTCCTCCTCCTTTTCTTCTTCTTCCTCCTCCTCCTCCCCCTCCCTCCCCCTCCTCCTCCTCCTCCATTTCCCCTCCCCCTACCCCTCCTCCTCCTCTTTTCCCTCCTCCTCTCCCCTCCCTTCCCTCTCCCCCTACCCCTACCCCTCCTTCTCCTCCTCTTTTACTTCTTCCTCCTCCCCTCCCCCTCCTCCTCCCTCTTCCTCCTCTCCTTCCACCTCCTCTTCCTCCACCTCCCTCCTCTTCCTCCACCTCCCTCCTCCTCCTCTTCTTCTTCTTCCTTCCTTCCTCCTTTCTTTTCCCACTTCCTCCTCCCCCCACAGGCCGTGTGGAGGCGACGCGCAGGTACAACGCACGACGGCGACCTTCCGCCGACGCCGGCCAAGAGCCACTACGTCTTCAACCTGCGCGACTTCTCCCGCGTCGTCTCGGGGCTCCTCCTCGTGCCCAACGGCGCCCTCAGCTCCTCGGAGAAGCTGGTGCGGCTCTGGCTGCACGAGGTCTACCGCGTCTTCCACGACAGGCTGTGCGACGACGAGGACCGGTGAGGGGGCGGCTCTCGGGGGCGGGTCTCGGGGGCGGGGGCGGGGGCGTGGTGACCGTTTTGGGTTGGGTTTAGTTGCGTTTATATCTATGTCTATATCTATCTATCTACTTATCTATCTATTTCTCTCTCTGTCTCTCTCTGTCTCTCTCTCTGTCTCTCTCTCTCTCTCTATCTCTCTCTGTCTCTGTCTCTGTCTCTGTCTCTGTCTCTGTCTCTGTCTCTGTCTCTGTCTCTGTCTCTGTGTCTCTGTCTCTGTCTCTGTCTCTGTCTCTCTCTCTCTGTCTCTGTCTCTGTCTCTGTCTCTGTCTCTGTCTCTGTCTCTGTCTCTGTCTCTGTCTCTGTCTCTCTCTCTCTCTCTCTCTCTCTCTCTCTCTCTCTCTCTCTCTCTCTCTCTCTCTCTTCTCTCTCTCTCTCTCTCTCTCTCTCTCTCTCTCTATATATATATATATATATATATATATATATATATATATATATATATATATATATATATATATATATATAGTATATGTATATGTATATGTATATATATGTATATGTATATATATATATATATATATATATATATATATATATATATATAATATATATATATATATAATATCTATATCGTTCTGGTTTGCGTTGTTTTGTTTCAGGAGATGGGGTTGGTTTAGTTATAGTTGGTTTGTGTTCATTTTTTTCAGGTGTGTGAATAATTCCTGGTATAGTTAAGATAAAACAAATAAAACCGATATTTTTCAATAAAAAATAATCACTAAAAACAAATTAATTCACAACCGAAGAATTTACTCACAACCAAAAAGAAACAATGAACATCTTTATCAACCTTTATCAAATTAGAAACAAAGAAAAAAGATAAACAAAAAACAACCACAACAAACAACCCTAGACACAAAAATCAAAAACACAAACCAACGAACCAAAAAAAGGAAGAAAAGAAAGAAGGAAAAAAGGACATAATAAAACGATTATTAATATTGATATTAATTCCATAAATAGATAAATGATAGATAAAAAATAGATTGAAAAAATCAACTCCCCTTCACACACAGACAAAAAATGTATCGTGCGGGAGGTGGCGGAGGCCGTGTTCGGACAGAAGCTGAGGCACGTGTTGGGACACATCGTCGGCGAGGGGGAAGCCGAGGTCACGCCCGAACACCTCAGCCGCCTTATCTTCGGCGACTTCATGATTCCTGACGCAGAGGAGAAGACTTATGACGAGGTAGTGGGCAGATTCAGTTAATTAATTACCTCATTATCTAAGTAGTAGAGAGATTAATGAGTTAATTGTGATTATGATTGCGTTGTTATTGCGATTCGTTCGATTTCCTGGTACACGACTTCGAGACCGAAACGTATGACGATATGAGGTATCAGGAGATCAGTTATCTGATTATTAGTTATCTAAGTAATAGGGGGATTAATTACCAATTTGTATTAACTATTACTATCGTTATCATTATGATACGTTCTGAGTTCGATGACGATAACGATGATTGTGCTGGTATCGCACTGGATATAATTATGATTATCTTTAATGACTGTAATTATTATAATTTCTTTAATTATAGTAATGATTAGGATTACCTTTAATTACATTGATGATTATGAATATATTTAATTATAGTAATGATTATGATTATCGTTAATGACAGTAATGGCTATGATTATCTTTAAATACAGTGATGACTATGATAATCTTAAATTACAGTGATGACTATTATATTAAATTACAGTGATGACTATCTTAAATCTGTATGACTAGGAAATTACAGTGATGACTATGATCATCTTATACAGTGATGACTAGCAGTGATGAATATGATTAGCTTAAATTACAGTGATGAACTATGCTCATCTTGAATTACAGATGAGACTCTAAATTACAGTGATAAATACATTATGACTATGATCATCTTAAATTACATGTGAGATGTGATGACTATGATCATCTTAAATTACAGTGATGACTATGATCATCTTAAATTACAGTGATGACTATTGATCATCTTAAATTACAGTGATGACTATGATCAGTGTGACTATGATCATCTATTACAGTGATGACTATGATGAGTGATGACTATGATCATCTTAAATTACAGTGATGACTATGATTAGCTTAAATTACAGTGATGACTATGATTATCTTAATTACAGTGATGACTATGATTATCTTAAAATTACAGTGATGACTATGATTAGCTTAAATTACAGTGATGACTATGATTAGCTTAAATTACAGTGATGACTATGATTAGCTTAAATTACAGTATGATATGATTATCTTTAATTACATGATGACTATGATTAGCTTAAATTACAGTACTAACGAATCGCAATGCTATGAGTAACAACCCCCCTCCCCTCCCTCCCCCCCCCCTTCCCCCCTCCCCCCCTCCGGCAGATCCAGAGCATGGGCGACCTGACGCAGATGACGGAGAACTACCTGGAGGAGCACAACACCGTCAGCAAGTCGAGCATGTCCCTCGTCATGTTCCAGTACGTCGTGCAGCACGTGGCGCGCTCAGCAGGATCCTGAAGCAGGATTCGGGGCACGCGCTCCTGATCGGGTTCGCCGGGTCGGGCAGGCAGAGCGCCACGAGGCTGGCGACCTTCATGGCGAACTACACCTGTTTCAGGTATTGGGAGGTGGGGCGACGTTCATGGGAATTACGATCTGTTTCAGGTATTGGGAGGTGGGGTTGTGGTAGGGGGAAGGGGGGTGGGGAGGGGAAGGAGGGGGCGACCTTCATGGGCGAATTACGATCTGTTTCAGGTATTTGGAGAGTGGTGTGGTAGGGGGAAGGGGGGGAGGGGGAAGGGAAGGAGGGTGGGCGAACTACGACCTGTTTCAGGTATTGGGAGGGGGTTGTGTAGGGGGAAGGGAAGGAGGGGGAGACCTTCATGGCGAACTATAATCTGGTCAGGAGGGTGGTAGGGGGGAAGGGGAGGCGTTACGACCTGTTTCAGGTATTGGGAGGTGGGGCGGGTGGTAGGGGCGGTAGGGGAGGGGGGGAGGGCTGGCGACCTTCAATGGGCGAATTATGATCTGTTTCAGGTATTGGACGGTGGTAGGTGGTAGGGTAGGGGGAGGGAGTGGATGTGGGGCGAAGATCTGTTTCAGGTATTGGGAGAGTGGGGAAGAAGGAGGAGACCTTCATGGCGAACTATAAATCTGGTTCAGGTATTGGGGGAGGGGAGGGGGAAGGGGCGAATTAACGACCTGTTTCAGGTATTGGAGTGGTGGTGGTGGGGGGGAAGGGGATGGGGAAGGGAAGGAGGCTGGCGACCTCATGGCGAATTGCGACCTGTTCCAGTATTGGGAAAGAGGGTGGTAAGGGGGAAGGGGGGGTAGGGGAGGGGCGAATTATGAGCTGGTTTCTGGTAATTGGAGGTGGGATGTTTGGGGGAGGGGGAGGGGCGAATTATGATCTGTTTTAGGTATTCGGAAGGTGGGGTGGTAGGGAGAGGGGCGACCTTCATGACGAATTTATGATCTGTTCAGGTATTTGGTGTTGGTGGGGTGGTGTAGGGGGGAAGGGGAGTGGAGGGGAGGAGGGACGACGTTCATGGCGAATTATACGACCTGTTTCAGGTATTGGGAGGTGGGAGTAGGGGGAGGGGGAGGGGAAGGGCGAATTACGATCTTTTTCAGGTATTAGAGAGGGTGTGTGGGATAGGGTGAGGCGGTAGGGTAGGGGGAAGGGCGAATAATGATCTGTTTTAGGTAATGAGAGTGGGTGGTTGGGGAGGGGGGAGGGGGAGGGGGAGGGGGGGCGACTTCATGGCGAATTATGATTCGTTTCAGGTATTGGAGGGGGAAGGGAGGGTATGCTGGGTGTTTTAGAGAGTTTGGTGATCTTAGTTTTTGCTTCTGATTGGTGTGGTTTGTTCTTTTTGATCTGCATTGTTTCTCTCCTTTTCTTTCTTTCTTTCATTCTTTATCCCTCTCTCTCTCTCTTGGTCTCCCCTTTCTCCTCCCTCCCTCTCTCCAACTCTCTCTTTCTCTGCCTCCTTCCCCTCATCTCTCTTCCTCTCTCTCTCCCTCCCCTTTCTCTTCCTCCTTTCCTCCCTTTCCTCTCTCTGTCTACCCTTCCCCCTTCTCCCTCACTCTATCTACCTCCCCTTCACCCTCCCTCTCTTCAACCCTTCCCCCCTTTCCCTCTCTCTCTCTATCTACCCCCTTTCACCCCTCTCTCTTTCACCCCCCCCCCCTTCTCCCCCTCCCCAGATCAAGGGACGAAGGCGTACGGCGTGGAGTGGCGCGGAGGACATCAAGCGCGTGCTCATGAAGGCGGGCGGCGAGGGGCGTCCCACCGTGTTCCTCCTGACGGACACCCAGATCAAGGACGAGGCGTTCATCGAGGACGTGAACACCCTCCTGAACACGGGGGACTTGCCCAACCTCTATTCCAACGAGGAGAAGGCGGAGATCCTCGAGAAGATCCAGCTGGTGGCGAAGGAGGAGGTGAGGAGGAGTGGGGATCGGCGAGGGTTGGGGTTGGGGATTGGGTGATTAGGTGCTTGGATTGGGACGGTCTTGTGTGATATGTTTTGGCTTTGTAGATGGAGTAGATGCAGGGATGTGCATTTTATCTGAATACATTGTTTTTATTATATTTTTTAAGCACTGTTTCGTCGCACTGTATCGTGATGGCTTGTTGTAATGACCTGTAATTTCCTTGTGCTATTACAACACGAAATCGCTTGCTATTAGTATTACAAAATGCTGCACCAGAGCATCGCTTTATCGAGGATACATAATACAGTCTGCTGTATCACCCGGTATTTATCCTCCTCGTTCCACATCAATACCCTACAGCATATTAACACACTCATATTACGTACTATTCCTACCTTCGCATTATAACTTGAAGCTAGAATACCACCTCTGTCTGCATCTTTCCCTCGCACAATATACTTACGTAGATAAACTTCAGGTTCAGGTTTTTTTCACACGCAAATCAACACTTTTACTTATTGTTCTTGATAAGGTTTGAAACTATAGATACCTAGCAACGTCCTATTGCCTAAATAAGCGAAGAGGAGTCATAGGCAGAATGGGCAAGACAAATTCGTTATAAATGTTTTTAAAGGTTGAAAGCGAAGAGGGTTTGCGGAAACTTAAAAAGTATTTGTTTAAAAGAACTGTTTACTATAATTTTCATGCTGTTTTATCTTTTATTAATATATAATACTGCTGTTGTCATTATTATTATTTTTTTATTAGTATTATCATTATTATTTTTATTACATTTCATTGTTATTATATTTTATTATTATTATTATTATTGTTGTTGTTGTTGTTGTTATTTTCATTATTTTTGTTACTCTTATTATCATTTTCATTATTATCATTATTATTATTATTATCATTATTATTATTATCATTGCTAACGTTATCATTATTTTGATCCTTATTAGTATCATTATCATTATTAAACTTCATAATGTATAATGTATAATTTATCTTATCAGTATGAGAAATTTGACGACTGAATGGCGTGTTGAAGAGTATTGTTTACGGGCTTTTTAAGACGAGTGGTTTTCCCGGGAAATAATCTGTTTTATTTCCCTTCGTTTTGGATAATGATTATTTGTTTGACGGCGGAATAAATAACACGTTAGAAAGTTTATTGTTACTTAGACTAACATTCTGTCGCCTAAGATGTCAGATGGTATTTTGTAATAATATTGTACAGTATATGTTAATAATGTATATAGTGTACAGTATAAGGTATACTCTTAACCTTTTAGTAGTTGTATATAAGATGTAGTTCATTATTTTAAAGGGATAGTTTACCCAGTGTAATATATTCATATGATGCAAGACATCAATGTACTTTAGCAACAATATGCCTTTAATAATGCACCTCTTACTATCAGATATATAGTTATTCGATTCATTCATCTATCAGTTTATTTATCATGAGGGGGGGGGGAGGCAAAGTGAGGACTCTGACACACTAGAATATCATTGTAGTAAATCACAGGACATGTTGAATAAGTCTGCACTGCATCACATCATGGGGTACGGTTGTGCATTGCAGTGTATTTTTAGTCCTATACCAGACTTTTTCACAACATATCATCAACCACAACACTCCCAGAACGTGTGATGATATATAGAAAGATTAATTTTTCTAGTTAGAATTGTTTTTATATAGATTACATTATTTTTTTTAAACAGTAACATAGCTAAAGCTTTCTGGCACATAATCATCACTTTACATATTACTTTTTTATATAAGATTTTGCATTTGTGAAATATTTAATAAAAGTCTTTTTTTACATAAATAGAAATAAGGATTTTCTATATTTTTATGTTCATTCGAAACACCTGCATGTTAAACTAAAATACACTAAACTTTTTTTCCTGAGATCCTGGATATAAAACAAGTGCTCTGTAGATTTTAAATGTTAATATACATATTTTTCTGTAGATCCCAAAAATAAAAGCTTTTAAGTAGACAAAGTAGATAAAAGACATAAAAAATAGATTTAGAAAACAAAACAATTAAAATTTATAATTAAAACCAGAATGACATCACTTTGAATGCAATTAAATCTGCACCTTTTTTCATTATTTTTTTTCTTTTCGTAATATTTTTTAACTCCTTTTCCACAGTGTCCAAGATGGCGTCTATTTTCATGAGATTTTTTGCATTATTTTCCAGGGGCTGGACGTGGTAAGATCTTAGATTTATTGCATGCTAGTTTTTTATTTATTTATTTGATAATACGTGTATTTATAATTAGAGAGAAATAAATATATGTTTTACTCCAGTTGGTGATGAAAATCAAAACAAAACAAAAAAATTAAAAAAAATAAAAAGGAAAATAGAAGGAGATGGAAAAGATGAAAGATAGGAAGGAAGGAAATGAAAAAAGGATGAAAATAAAAGGAAAGAAATATTACTGGAGATTTCTTGTCTGTTTGTTTGTTTGTTGTTTGTTAGCGGCAAATATTCCACTGTACAGGAAGTGGTTTGATGTTGCCATAGCGAGAGTAGAACAGTTTTTGAGAAAGTTCGAGACAAATTCTTTGGCTTTTTTTTCTCTATTTTTTTTTCTTTCTTTCTTTTTCGAATCCTCACCTTTACTTCGTTTCCTTACACGCGCCTTTTCTTGTTGGGTTTTGCGAGAGTGACAGATGATGGGCATATATATTTTTTTTATGTGTGGGTGGTGGAGGGGGGTTAAGGTGGGGGTGTGTTAATGTTGGGTTATATAATTTTTATTTCTAGGATTCTCTCACTTATTGTTAAATAAACGATTTTTTTTCTTTTCTTTATTGTCATTTATATGAGAGTTAGAATCCATATTTGTGACAAGTATCATTATCTGTTGCTTGTGAAACTTTGTGGTCTTTTCTCTTTATTCTCACAAAGTACTTCATGTATTTTTCTGCCTTTATTTTTTGTCTCATCATTTTGGGACAAGGACATCGAATCTTGAATTTGTTGGTGCTTGAAACCTTTGGTGTCTTTTCTCTTTTTGGTCTCACAAAGTACTTCATGTATTTTTCTGCCTTATTTTTTGTCTCATCCTCAATTTCCATGTTTCCATTTTCTCTCTCTTGCTTCTCTCTCTCTCTCTCTCTCTCTTGCTCGCTCTGTCGCTCTCTCTCTCTATTATTGCTCTCTTGTATCTATCTATCTATCTATCTGTCAATCTCTGTCTGTCTGTCTATCTCTCTATCCCTTTATCTGTCTATCTATCTATCTATCTATCTATCTGTCTATCTATCTTATCTATTTCTGTTCTATCTTGTCCATGTCCATCTGTACATCCTGTACATCTGTCCATCTCTGCGTCTCTCAGTCTCGTCCATATGTCTCTCGGTTTCTTTCCATTCTCTCATCTCGTCCGTCTCTCCCTCTCTCTCTCCTCTCTCCCTCTTCTCATCTCTCTCTCTCTCTTCTCTCTCTTCTCCTCTCCCTCTCCTCTCTCTCCTCTCTCTCTCCCTCTTCCCCCTCTCCCTCTCCTCTCCCTCTCTCCTCTCTCTCCCCCTCTCTCTCTCTCTCTCTCTCTCTCTCTCTCTCTCTCTCTCTTCTCTCTCTCTTCTCTCTCTCTCTCTCTCTCTCTCTCTCTCTCTCTCTCTCTCTCTCTCTCTCTCTCTCTGTCTGTCTGACTATCTGTTTTTCTAGCTATCCATCTGTCTATCTATCTATCTGTCTGTCTATCTATCTATCTGTCTATCTATCTCTTTCTATCAGTCCATCTATCTATCTCTCTATCTCTCTCTCTATCTATCCATCTACCTATCTATTAATCTGTCTATCTATCTATCTATCTATCTATGTTTTCCTCATCTTTCCACTCTATTTATAACCTGCCCTCTATTCCCTCAACGCCTTCTCAAGCCCAAAAACATAAGGGTCAAGCTGGCGTTCTCTCTTGAAAGAAAAAAACCCTTAGCTGGCAAAATCTTTCAAATTTCGAATCCAGCCTTTTGGGGTAAAAAATAAAAGTTGATAAGAGGATTTGAATCAACTGGCTTTTTTATTTTGATTCGACTTTGACTTGTGGTGTGTTTGTGTGTAGTTCTTAGATTATTTTTTGTCTTTGTCGTTTGTTGTGGCTTATGTATTTGTTATTGTGTAAGGACGTGGTTTTTTGACGCCATTGGGTTCGTGATGAGATAAGACAGGGAGGGTAATGATAATAACTCTAATAATGATGATAAAGATAAGATATAACAAGGTTTAATGCGAATATTAATCTTATAAGTGTGGATAGAATTAATTGTGTGTGTTTATGTGTAATTATGAGTATGACTGAATAACTATGAGTATGGATTATAGATGAGTGATCGTGAATGTAAATAAGTAAATGAGTAAATATGAATGTTGAGTACGAACATGAATAGATAATTATATGTAGGAAAATGGAAAATAAATAAACATTAGTATTAAAATGAAGAAATATCAGTAAGGATACTGATATCTGTGAACTTAGAATGTGAATACATACGACTATTAATAAGGATGATGATGAGTAAGTTTGTATATATAAATTAGTATGATTAAACCTCATACATTTAGGCCTGTTATTGATCACGTGATATCAGACCCCAAGACGTGTACGAGATCTGTAACAAAGTTCTTTCTGTTCAATTCTTAGTGTTAAGAACATGGAGAACATGAACATGATGCGGTACTAATAGAAGGGGTATCTGTTAAGAATAATTAGATAAAATAAGATAAATCGAATTAAAACTTTATGATTATATGTTTATTTATTTCAATTGCGTGTTAATTATTTATATGTGTCTAAGTTGTAGAAATAATGGTGTGGTTTTGTGAGATTTTGTTTTATTATTTGTTAATTAATTAATTTATTTATTTTTATTCATTCAGTAATATTTGTTGCAGTTATTGACATTGTTTAAAGAATGGGGTGTATATACTGTAGATGATGATTCTGTGATGAGGATATTGATAATGATGATAATGATAATAATGGTAATGATAACACTAATGGTATTGGGAATTTTGGGAATGGTAACAGTTGCAATGATAATAATTGCATTCATACTGTAGGGTTGATGCTGAGATTGTATATTGTAAGGTTGGTAACTATGATTAAACAAGAGTGATTATTATCATTATATTCCGGGTGATAAGTCTCACAATTATACACCAATTATTCATAACGATCATAGTAATAATAATGATGATAATGATTATGATGATGGGGATAAAAACAGTAATGATAATAATGATAATGATAATAATAATGATAATGATAATAATAATGATAATGATAATAATAATGATAGTGCTAATGATCATGATAATGATAATAACCATTGTAATATGGAGACTACTAAATGTGACCGTAATGATAGTAATGTTAATGATGATAATAATGAAAATTACGATGATATTCACGATGGTGATAATATTGACAATAACCATGATATAATAATATATAAAACAATGGCAATGATAATAATCATGATGATAATAAAAAAATAATACTATTGTGAATTTGAATGATACGTATAATGACAATATTTATGACCAAAATAATGATAATGATCTGATAATATTGACAAAAAAACAATGATGATAATAATGATTATCACTTGTAAAGATTATTATTATCATTATTATTCACATTTTTATAATGATAATAGTATGATGATAAAGGTATTGGTAAGTAGAGATTCCTATTATCCGAAAATAAAAAGATTTAGGTGTCCCAATAGTATATTAACATGATTCGTAATAATTTCAAGTTCATAATTTTCAGCTTTTCATTCTGGTTAAAGGTCATCTAAAGTGTAATAGCATATTTTGTGTGAGAGTTTTTTTCCATTTGTTTTGCAGTCATCTGAAATGTAATAGTATATTTGTATAGGAAGTGTAATAGCATATTTTGTGTGAGAGTTTTTTTCCATTTGTTTTGCAGTCTTCTAAACGACTTTTTAAAACTTCAGTGATACTTGAAATAAATTTTGTTTATAATCCTGAATTTTATAATTTGATTATATAATGAAATTATGCGTGTAAATTTTTGATGATATATACACTAACAGTATTCATTAGTAGCTGCTGTCAGACACACTCACTTTTTTTTTACCCAAATATATGTTTTAAAGATACTTTTTTTCTTCTTTGTTACTTATCTCTTTAATCCAAATTTATAGAAAAGCGATTATTGAATAAAACTTAGTCTGAGATATACGATTCACGTTCATTTAATTAGAATGAGAAGTTAACGTAACATGGATGAACGAAACAGAACTTGTACTTCATGAACATTTGTGCTATACCTTTTTACCACTCTGTCGACGACCGAAATAACTTTTTTAACGTAACACGAATGAACAGTTTGCCTTCATGAACATTTGTGCTATACCTCTACCACTCTACCGACAACCTTAATAATTTTTTCCTTCAAAATTTCCACCCACAAGGGCAAGAAAATGGACGCCTCGCCCCTTACTCTGTACGGGTACTTCATCGACCGCGTCAGATCCAACCTGCACCTGGTCCTGGCGGTGTCCCCCGTCGGCGACACCTTCAGGACGAGGCTCAGGACCTTCCCGTCGCTCATCAACTGCTGCACGACCGATTGGTGAGGCGGAGGGGCCCTGGGGAGTGGGTGTTTTTTTATTTATTCATTTATTTATTTATTTGTTTGTTTATTTGTTTATTTATTTATTTGTTCATATTTATTTATATTTATTTATTTATTTATTTGTTTATTTATTTATTTATTTATTTATTTTGAGGGAGTGGGTGGGTGGAGTAGGAGTGGGCGGGGGACACAGGGGGACTGTTTTTTAGGAGTTCTTTTCGTTTTTTTTCTTTCTCTCATTGTTTTTCTTCATCGCTTGTTTTTCTCTTTATGGAGGGAGAGGGTGAGGGGTTGGAGAGGGAGGGAGGAGGGTGACACGGAGAAAGAGCAGGAGAGAGGAAGAGAATTAAAGAGGGAGGGGAAAGACTAAGAGTGAGACTAAGAAGGTAAGAGAGGGACACAGAAATAACCAACAAAGATTCTATTAACAACCTCTGAGACATATCAATAAAACGTGCAACCCAAATTAAATAACATCCTGAGCTACATCACTATTAATCATATGCTTGCTGCAGGTTCACCCCTTGGCCCGAGGATGCCCTGGAACGCGTGGCCCACAGCCTGCTGCAGGACGCCCAGCTGGAGCCTTCCCTCCTGCAGCGCTGTGTCGAAGCCTGCAAGTTCTTCCACCACACCATGGACGTTCTTGGTGCCAGGTATTGCGATAGTGTATGGTCTACTTATATCTCTTATGGCATTGTGGTTATTTACAAAGTTACTGTGCTAAGTTCACCATAGTTTTTTTGGTTTATTTTGTGAATAGCGTTGCTGAAGCGAGATTAATCATTTTCAGTGAGTATTAACAAACTTGATAATTACTTTAGGAAATAGATATCATAGACTACCTTTAACCAGTACGCCACACATGAGCAGAAAATGTAAACATGGGAAACACACACTCGCACATACACGCTGTTTCAAAGACACAAACAAGAACTTTTATTCCCTTTTATTAAGTATCCCCTGGATTATAATTAAAGTCGAATAAACCTCAGTAAATTTCTTACAGATACTTCGAGCAACTTCGCCGCTGGTGCTACGTCACGCCGACGTCCTACCTGGAGCTCGTCCTCACCTTCAGGCAGCTCCTCCTCAAGAAACGCTCGGAGATCCTCATGCTCAGGGACAGGTAGGACCTCGAGGGGGCTTCGTATTTTTTCTATCGATTTTATGTCTATTTATACTTTTGTTTTTCTTCGTGAGAGAAGTAGAAAAAGAGAGGTAAAAAGAAAAAGAGAGAGAGAGAGAGAGAGAGAGAGAGAGAGAGAGAGAGAGAGAGAGAGAGAGAGAGAGAAGAGAGAGAGAGAGAGAGAGAGAGAGAGAGAGAGTAAGAGAGAAGAGAGAAGAAAGAGAACAAAATGACCACCACCACACCACCTTAACCCCCCTCAACATCCCACAGATACGTCACGGGCTTAGAGAAACTGAAGGAGGCCAAGCTCTTAATCACGGAACTGCAGGAGGAGCTGAAGATGCTGCAGCCCCGCCTGGTGGAGACCTCGGCGAACACGGAGGCTCTCATGATCAAGATTGAGCAGGACACCATCCAGGTCGAGAGGAAGAAGGAGGTCAGTCGCGGATACAAAAGGGGGAGGGAGAGATGCTCAAGGAACGGTAAAAGTACTCTACCGTGTTGATAGTGGGGTAGGAAAAAACTGCAGTGAACAAACGGGATTTGTTGAAAGGTTGAAAGACAGTTGTGAAATGCTCATCGTTTGTGCATTGTGTTTTTTCTACCACGTTTTATTTTTTCTTATGTTTTTCTTATGTTCATTGTTTAGTATATAATTCACGCTTGAATACACAAACGTACATGCACACATAGACACAAAAGAATCTGTTTATATGTACATATATACGTGCATGCATACATACATACATGTATATACAGATATTCATACATGGATAAATTCTTTCGCACATACATACAAAAAATACAAAATAAAAACATGCATACATAACCTCCCCAACCTCCACAACCCTACTGACCCACCCCAACCCCCGCTAACCACCCCTCCCCCTCCTCCCCCGCAGCTGGTGGCGGCGGACGAGGCGGTGGCCAACCGGAAGTTCGCCGACGCCAGGCCATCAAGGACGACTGCGAGAAGGAGCTGGCCAAGGCCGTGCCCGCCCTCAACGCCGCCACGGACGCCCTCAACACCCTCAAGCAGGACGACATCCGCGTGGTGAAGGCCATGAAGAACCCGCCGTCGGAGTCAAGCTGGTGAGTCCTATGGGCGGGGGCGGGGGGGAGATGGGGGGTTGGGTGGGGTGGAGGTGTGGGGGAGGGGGAGGGGAGGGGGCGTCTGGGGTGGAGGTGAGGGGAGGGGGGTCTGGGTGGAGGTGGGGGGGGAGGAGGTGGGGGGGGGGGGGGGCGTCGTCTGGGGTGTCTTTATCTTGTCTTCTCCTGGGCTCTTTGGGTGGTGAAAGGCCTGCTTATCTTTTTCTGTTCATCTTCATCTTCTGCAAAGTCCTTTCGCCTGTCTGATCTCATCTTCTCCCTTCGCCTATCTTATCTTACGATCAGTAACCATAAACCTTCACTTTTATCTCTTACATTCGCGTACCTTATCTTCCCTTCAATAACCAAATACTTTCACTCTTGGCTTATCTTCTCGGCTCCTCGGGTGATAGAGGCCCGTCTCATCCTCTATCTCCTCCTACTGCATCCTGCCTTCAATAACCAAATATTTTCACTTTTATCTTATCTCTTACACTCACCCATCTTATCCTCCCTTCAATAACCAAAAACCCTATCTATCTCATCTTCTACATTCTCCTACCGCATCCTAACCAAATATCTTCACTCTTATCTTATCTCCTATATTCGCCCATCTTTTATCCTCCCTTCGGTAACCAAAAACTATCACTCTCATCTTCACTTACCTTATCTCCGTTCACCTTATCCTCCCTTCAGCAACCAAAAACTCCATTCTTATCTTTTAACTTCTCTTATCTTTTCTCCTCGGTCCCCAGGTGATGGAGGCCGTGTGCGTGATGCTGGAGGTGAAGCCCGAGCGAAAACCCGACGCCACAGGGTCCGGCAAGATGGCTGAGGACTTCTGGGCTCCTTCGCAGAAACTCCTCGGGGACATGAAGTTCCTGCAGAATCTCCTGCAGTACGACAAGGACAACATCCCCACCAAGATCATCTCCGTTGTCAGGACGAAGTAATGTTTTGTTGTATTTGTTTTATTTTTTTATTTGTTTGTTTATTTGTTTATTATTTGACACGGTCTGTTGTGTTGGTGTTAATTCCGTATTGTATGCATCGTCATATGTTTGTCTCATGTTCATTATATGTTGTTTCCCCTTAGTATCATGGAGACTATTGTGTTAAACAGGTGTATATTACATCAAATTAATTTTCTTACCACCATCACCGTCATTTTTTTTATGCTCTCATCCCACAAAAGTTTCTACTTAATTCGAAAGAAAATTTACACGGTCTCTATAATACTGATCACATTCCATCATATCTCTATCACATCACACCACACCATACCGTCTTCATCTCCTTTTCCCCCAGAAAAATACTTGCATTCTCCCTAAAAGGTTTTGCATCCCCATAGAGTCCGTATTGCCTATCCTTGACACACTTTACTCAACACATCACTGCATAATTAATCCCGTCACTCTCTTCACATACCGCATCATTACCTCCTAAACCCTTTGAAATACCCGACCTCCTCCCCCAAAAAAGATTCTACTCTCATCCGGACTTCGACCCCAAAAAGATTCTCTCAGAGTCCATATAACTTACACTACCGTACAAAATAATCAACCTTTTGAAGATTCTTCTAAGAGTCAAATCACCTATCTCTTAATGTTATGTGTCACTTCTATTACACCTTTATCTCCCCCCCCCAAAAAAAACCCCCCTAAATGCAAATCTTTCCTCCCCCCCCCCCAATAGATTCTACTCCCATCCCGACTTCGACCCCAAGAAGATCTTCCCACAGTCCATATAACCTAAGCTACCTCACAAAATTATCAGCCCCTCGAGTCAACATTTCTCTTATTATTACATCGTATTATCACACCATCATCCCCTCCGCCCCCAAAAAAAAAACATTCTATCCCCCCTGAAATACCAAATCTTTCCTCTCTCCCCCAAATAGATTCTACTCCCACCCCGACTTCGACCCCAAGAAGATCCGCATGGTGTCGATGGCGTGCGAGGGCCTCTGCCGCTGGGTCCGCGCCATGGTGGTGTACGACCAGGTCATCAAGATCGTGGCCCCCAAGAAGCAGGCTCTGGAGGCCGCCAACTATGAACTGGCGCTGCAGAACGAGAAGCTGGAGGAGAAGAGGAAGGAGTTGAGGGAGGTAAGGAGGGGGAGGAGAGGAGGGTAGGAGGATTGGTGAGAGAGGAGGACGAGAAGCTGGAGGAGAAGAGGGAGCTGAGTGGGTAAGAGGAGATTAGTGAGAAGAGGAAGGAGCTGAGGGAGGTAAGGAGGGGGGAGGAAGTGAGGGAGGAGGGATTGGTGGAGAAGAGGAGAAAGAGAAGTTGGGTGGAGAAGAGGGAGTTGAGGGAGGTAAGGAGGGAGAAGAGAGGAGGGGAGGAGGGATTGGTGAGAAGAGGAGAAAGAGAAGTTGGGTGGAGAAGAGGAAGGGAGAAAGAGAGGTAAGATGGACGAGGAGATATAAGGGAATAAAAAGAAGACAAATAGTAATAAGAATAAAGGGTAGGAATTGGGGATGTCCTTTAATAATTGGTTGGTGGGGAAAAGGGAGGAAGTGAGAGATACAGAGAAGTGTGATACCATTAATTATTATCACCTCCAGCATCACAAAATCATGAATACCATCGTTTATCATCACCTCCACCAACAGCACATCATAAACATCATTATTTACCACCACCACCACCATAAACACCACTATCTATCGTCTCAATCACCAACACCACCATTACAACACCGACGTCTATCTTCACCACCAACAACACCACCACTAATAACCCCCCCCCCCCCTCTGCACCTTCTCCCCCCAACCCCCAGGTCACAGACAAACTGCAGGCCCTCAACGACGAATTCACCAAGAAGCAGAAGGAGAAGAAGGACCTGGAGGACTCGATCGTCAGGTGCGAGCAGAAGCGAGACCGGTCGGAGAGGCTCATCGGCGGACTCGGAGGGAGCGAGACAGGTGAGGAGCGAAGGGGGTGCGGGTAGTGTGAATGGGGGGAGGGGGAAATGAGGAATGAGAGGATAAGGAGGATTGGGGATGAAGATGATGGGAGCGAAGGGAGGGTGTTTATGAGGAATGAGAGGGTGGGAATAAGGAGGATTGGTGAGGCTGGAGAGCATGAGGAGCGAAGGGAGGGGGTTTATGAGGAATGAGAGGCATATATTAAATGAAACTGGCATATTTTATTTAGATGGAGTTTTGTTCAAGTGACTTTGCCCGGCTGGAATGACCGCACAGTTCCTCTTCAGTCCCTACTACGCCTCGCACCTCCGAGCTAAGGCGCCTTCTTCCCGCAGGTGGAGCGACGCCGCCCAGCAGCTGAGTGAGAGTCTGGAGAACGTGGTTGGGGACGTGCTGATCGCCGCTGCCGTCGTGGCCTACCTCGGGGTCTTCACCGTCGACTACAGGGAGGTGAGTGC